CAGTTTTTCCTGCAGCCCTCTGATTTTCAGTGAAGATTGCTATCTTCATTGGTACTTGTGTTGTACTTAAGTCATATCTTGTCCCACAGACTGTTTGCTGGTTTAGTGTCCTAATTTTCTTCTTTTAAGTTCATTTATGCTTGCTCTTAACAGAAGATTGCTGTAGAAAACTTGTAACAAATGGTGGCTGTTCCTTCCAATGATTTTTCTCATTTTGCGTGTTTGATTTCATTTCAAAGCATTAGGGTATGAAAATGTCTTCTCGGCTGTAGTCCTTAACCACAGTCGGATCCAACTGAGTACAAACAGTTTGTTATGTAAATGGATACGGAGAATAAGGCATTGTGCTCTATAGCCTATGTGGCCAAATGCAGCATGGTATGAATCCTTGATTTTCATTTCTTGTTGCCTAGCAAAGGTATAAAACAGCAATTAACAAGCAGTCTTAGAGAGTTAGCTTTACAGAGCATATGTTTCTCCACCCTTTAAGTTGGCAGTATGCATTCTATATACATGTCCCTTGTGGGAAAATTATCTCTTGGGTTCCACTTCTCTGTCTCAAAGGGAGAGAGATGTCTGAAATGTATGCTTTTTGTCAGTTTACAAGGCAATCTTTGAAGCTTTCCTGTTAGCTGTTACTGTCTTTTCTGAGAGAAGAGTGCAGAAGAGGTCATAAAATATTTCATGCTCTTACATAAACTGAGAGATTCTTTCTTTCATAAAGCCTGTTCCATTTCTTTCCCTCTGTGTGCCTGGAGTGCGTGCATTCAGGTCACTGCGTCATGGAAGTCTATTATACATGTGTTATTTTTAAAGTGATTTCTGATTGAAGAAGCACAGAGTTGGCATCTCATTGACGTGCAGGCTTGCAGGTGTGATAGCCGAGAAAACATTATTTGGTGATAGCACTGCACTGAGGTGAAACACTCAGATGTCTAGTTGAAAACGCAGATTTCCAATTAAATTCTAATTGCAGATACATGAAGTTTCTGCAGTTAACTCAGGGATACAACTCTTACAGCCTCCTTGAGTTGGAAGAGGTCTCTTTGTTGTCTGCTGTTTCATCTTAACTTCTGAGGGTTTCCTATAAGCAAAAAGTCAGATTGCCCAAATCCAGCCTTAGTGACCTAATGGCACAGACCTGATACCCTTTGCTGTACCATCAGCTTTACAAAGCCATAAACCACAGCTCAGCCAGCTCTGGTTTGAACACATTAACTTACATTGCACGTGGAGATGTGCTGAGCAGAGCTGATGCTCTGCTGCATTGCTGACCCCTTTACAGCACTGTCAGGTATAGATCATAGTTTTATAAAGTGTCCAAGAAAGTGGGGTCTGACATGAACATCACCTCCCTCATTCTTCTAAAATAGTCAGTCTATGCATTCTTTATAGGCAGGTCTATTGAATCTGTCTGTATTGTTCATATTTTTTATTGAAGTCTCTGGCCATTACTAAGGTTTTTAGTGCACCTGCACTGAGATTTTAAGGAAAAGCTGTGAGACCATGGGATTACCTCTCCTTCCTGCCCTTCCACCCCCAAATCCGATGTATTTAGGCTTACTGGAAAAATATTTTAGCATACACTGTCCATATGTTGTCTGGTGTCTTGAATAATAAACTGGATGCTTTATGTCTTATACACAAAGATTAAAATTAGTGCATTGTCTTACAGATATTTTGAATTCAACAAGTGTATGTAGAACAGTGTTGTTGAGAAACACCAGGGTATGTGGTCTGTACTTAAACAGAAGTCAGTGACAGAAGGTGTGTGTATTTATACATAAACATTACTATCCATGGTTTCTTTTATTCTAACATCTTACAGCTGTTTTAAATATGTTTAAATTAAAGCTGGATGAAGAAATTTGATTGTGATTGTAAGTATTATTCATTTTTTTTAAGTTGCTTCTTGTCTTGAAAGACATTTACAAGTACAGTGGGTCCAAGTATTTTCACACTGTCATGTTTTTACATCTTTATCAGACTGTAAAAGAAGCGATGAACAGAAATTCTTGACCATCATTAGTCTCATGCAAAACCAATTAATTCTAGTCCCTATTAGTGGACTCAAAACAATTACACACAAGGACTTCCCTTGTATGGTCATAGTGTTATTTCTATTTCCAGCATTTTTGTTGTGCTTTCTTGTGTAAATACTACCTATGGCAATGTGAAGAATTAGGAAATGAATGTACCAAAATACACTGCAATGTCGTAAGGTCTCATTTTGGAATATCCTTACCTTGAGTAATTGAGGGCTGCCACCAAAAGGCTGGCACATACTGACCTTGTTTAGGCGAGATACTTCCAAGGCAGTGCACAGTAGTTGATGTGTGAGGGGAAATTGTAGTGGTTAGCAGACTTCTTTCCCCACTGACAGCAATTGTGTTCTGGCAAGTTCACAGTTAATGGGACAAGTGCATCATCACTTTCCTCATTAATAATAGAAATCTGGAATCTGCATCCTGCCTTTCTTCATGTACGTAATTCTTCAGAATTGCTAGAAAGTGGAGCAAAATGTCAAATTTCAGGCAGGCACGATTATCTGATATAGCTTAATTGTGTTTTAGTGAAAGATAGTGTAGGGATACTTTGTGTAAGAATCTTGAAAGTCTGCCAGTTTCTGCATTTATAACTACTTTAATATTTAAAGACTAAAACTTTTGGTGTTGTACGTCTTTGAAGCTAGACTCCGTAAGATTAGGCACAAGTCAATTAGCAGATGGGAAGAAGTGAAACCTTTAGACTTTGTTCTAGGGGCTGTATTTGTAGAGCTGGACACTACCAGGCGCTTTCTGAGGATACTTTCTGTGAGTGGTGGGCACAAGGGAGGCTGGCCTGAGTGGAAGCAAAGCACTGAGTAGAAGTAAGTTTGCTTAGAAAGTTGAGAGGCTTAAATTCTCGGTGGTGTAGAAATGATGAAACTTGGAGGCTGGAACACAGACAGAGTGGATGCTAGTTGATTCAGGCTAAGGAAGCTGTAATGGCAAGGTGAAAAGGAGGCAAGGAGAAGCATTACTTATGTTCTCAGACTTCTCATTGCTGACCTGAGTGCTTCCTCAGTGCCTCCCAGTGACTGACTTGCATCTCACCTTAGTTTGCCATAAAAATTTGCAAGAAATGGCTTTTCTGAGAGCTGACTCTTCTTAAATCAGTTTTATGCTGGAAAAGCGTGAATTTTAGCTGAAGTGATAAACTATACCCCATGCTGAAGCAGCAGAGACTGGTGGTTTTTTTAACTACGGCACAAGGAGTTGCAAAAGAAGGAATGATAATTCAGATGCAAGTGGGGATGCTTATGCTTCTCCACTTCAGGGTACCTCTTCTTCCTTCCTCATTTAATCTATCTTCCGTATTGCTGTCATTATTCCATTGATAGCATTTTACTGTCCTATCTAATGATCTGGGGTGATATGAGTCTTTCTGCTTCAGCCAGTGTAAGAGTACACTGTAACATCATGTGAAGTTTATGGGAGCAGACTTCATGCATAGTGGGAAGGGATGCCAGCTCCTGTCATTGTGGTTGCAAGTGCCCAAGCATGTTTTGCTACCTTAAGAATTATTCAGGCTTGTTGCTACATTAATTGGCTACAGACTGTTCAGATAAAATGTTTGGTATCTTCATCTTTCTCATGTTTTGAACTGTACTGACTGTCCATCAAGTAATCATTTATGGTATAAACAGGAATATCTTAAGCCTAAGTAGACTTCTTTTTTTCCTTTACTGCACTTTAAGATACAAAACAGTTCATGTATTGGAATTTGAAAGGTAGAGCACTAAATTAAAAATGTGACTCAGAGTTTCTGTATGCAGACATATGTTGAGGTACAATATTCTGAGGTATTCTGAGTTTTTCAGATAGTAGTAGAAAGTTGAGGTACATTTTAAATCATTCATATTCTTCAGATACAGTGTATGGCACTTTATTTAAAAACAAAGAATCCAGTTAGCAGGGAAATCTATTGAATCTATTAAAGCTATTAAATCCTAAACTGATGGAGCTTTTCTAGAATTTCAATATGCTGCTACATGCTGAAATGCTACTATTAATTATAAATGGTTTGGGAATGATGAATGACAATATGGGTAAGTGTTGCATACGTTAGTAACAAAGGAAGATACCATGCTATTGCTCTTGAAGAAATAAAGATATTTCTTATAGTCAAACAAGAATTTACACTGCTAGACATGTGTTACAACTCCACCCAACCCCCATGTAAAGAAAAAATTAGAAGAGTACAACTGACAAGGAAGAAAAAGTGTACAGTACTATAAAAGCCACTGTGCGTTTTACTTTTTTCTCCTATGAATGTGTACCTTAAGATACTGATTTTCCTTTATTAACACCAGAATGGTGTTTTGTTTGTTTGTTTGTTTTTGTGGAATAGAAGTCCATTTCATCTTATACTTGTTTTTCCTTGTCCTGCTTTTTATTTTGTTTCCTGGGAGCTATGATGAGAGGTCTCTGACAAGGCCAGTTTTCCTTTTCTGTCCTTGATTAACTCTGTGTGTTTCCATGTCAGTGATGGGCATTCCTGGCAGTTGCAGCCAAGAACATTTTCATTATTTCAATGTCTGGAAAATGTATTGATGGTTTGTCACTCCTGTATCTTGTTGAATGAGTCATACAACAATTTAGGTTGTAAGAGACTTCTGGAGGGCATCTGGTCCAGACCTTGCTTAATTTGCTGCATATGCGTGAAAAGGCTCAGCAAAGCTCTGTGGATGACATAACCAACCTTTTGACTTTCTGTTCACTGCTATGTAAGATTTTTGCTGCTAATCATTCAATTCTTGTTTTTTATTATTCTTTTTCTGTTCTAGAATCCTGTCTGAGGGACATTCCTAAAAACAAAACGTCATTCCTGCAGATGTGAAAAGCAGCATATGTTTGCATATGGGCTTCTGTGAGAAGCGTCTTCCAGATGTTATGGGGAATTTTTCCTTTTTTTATATTAAATACAGTAAAATCTTGATTTTCTTTAATTCTTTACAGCCAGGAGCAGAATTTGGATGAAGCGATCTGCCTAAGTTGCCGTCATGAGCAGAAGCAAGCGTGACAACAATTTCTACAGTGTTGAAATTGGAGATTCTACATTTACTGTATTGAAACGGTATCAAAACTTAAAACCGATAGGATCAGGAGCACAAGGAATAGTATGGTAAGGTTTCTTCAAAGTGTAAACACACTTCTAGGTTCTGTTAATAGAATTTTTGGAGTGCCTTTACAGTTACACATTATGTGAAAAATAGTGTTTATGATCATTAGTCGTCAACAGTGGGTTTTGTTGTTTATTTTGACATGCATCCCTTCCTGCATCAGAACTGGTGCCCTTCTGTGTAAATTCATTTAGGTGTCCTGAGTCCCATAAATTAAAAGGATAAAGGAACTAATCCTGATCCTAAGCCACACTGCTTAAAGTGAAACAAAAGCCAAAAAAAACTTCTATGTAATATTTGATGCTTCTACATGCTTTTTTTTCTTAAAATAGTTTGCTAGAGACCTATTTCACTTAGTTCCATAGTAGTGTCTTACACCAGCTAGTGAGCACTTGCGATGCAGACTATCAGTGTAATGTGCAAATTATGCTTATGATAAATGAAGCTGTTTCAGTTAAGCCACTCTGATTGCCCTGAAATGCACTGGAGCACTCATATGGTTGAATTTTGCCCATTTGTGAAGGAGATAATGTGTAATTCTTGTGATTTGGGTTGAGTTGTGTTTTTGTTTCTTTGTTTTTTCTTTTCCACTAATCCAGCTTAATTTGGAAGAATACAGAATCATGGAATCACTAAGGCTCAAAAAGGCCTCTAAGAACATCCAATCAAGCCATCTACCTATCACCAATATTTCTCACTAAACCGTGTCCCTCAGTACAACACCTAAACATTCCTTGAACACCTCCAGGGTTGGTGACTCCACCACCTCCTTGGGCAGCCCATTCCAGTTCCTAAACACAGTTTCTCCTAACATCCAACCTGAATCTCGCTTGGTGCAATTTGAGGCCATTTCCACTAGTCCTGCTGCTGAAGTAGTTTTGAAGTAGATGATCTAAAGGCTCAGCTTTGAAACAGACTCTAAGGCTATGTTTATGTACTGCAGATTTAGAAATTTGTCATTTTTTCCTGATCTCCTCTTTGCTTCTCTCTTGCAAGATATGGACTATCTTATGGGTAGATGAAGGAAATATAAACAACAACAAAAAAAACTTACCAGTATATGTTCATCTAATTTTTTTCTTTCTTTTTCCCTTGTAACTATACAGTTTTATGGTGCTAAAAAAAAGAAATCATTCAGGCCTAAGTACTGTATAGACAACATATTTCCAATTGTATTTGGTAAATGCTGACCATTTACTGGCAGATGTTCTTCATTAGTTTTGTGTACCATTCTCAGTAAGAGACAATAAAATGGTATTTTTCCCTGCTGAGGCTTTTTTACTAGCTGACAAATATTTCCTGAGTCTGCACAGTAGTCAGCTGCTGTATTACTTCTTGCAGAAAACAAAATCCCTGCCTTCCTGTCATGGCAATATGTACAGGACTTGTCCCCACTAATCATCGTCATCTTTTCAACAGCTTGTATTACTGAATTATTAGCAATCTTGGCATCTATCTGCAAATAGAATTTTATTCTTCCTTGAAGACATCAAGATGTTAGGGCTTTCCTAGCATTTTGGGTTTTTTTGTTTTATCTTGATGTCGATGCGGATATTGTCATGAGGATATTAAACAGCTGCATGCTGCATCATGAATGAGAGCGTGGGACCTATGTATAACCTACTTTTCCTCTCTTCTTATCCCTACGTTTCAGTGAGAAGATTATACGTAAAATTGATGTGGATTTTATGTTTAAAGCATTTTGGATCTTTTTAGGCAGTCTGTTCTTCAGTGCGAGTGGCAAGACATCAGTACCTTTAGGCAGATATTCTAGGAAACAGAGGTCATGCAGTTTTTATTGGTGATTGTTGTGTGTTAGGGCTACAAATCTGAGAAAATCTTTAAAATTTTTGTATTGCAAAGCATACATGAGCAACTTGCTATTAATCTCCCTGAAGCTGATTAATACCAGAAGCTTTGTTTACATGCAGGCTTAATACGTGGTATTTGGAAAAGTAGAAACTGCCTGAGCTTAATTGATTGTAACACTGATATGAAATCATGTTATTTTTATTTACAGTGCAGCCTATGATGCCATCCTTGAGCGAAACGTTGCAATCAAGAAACTAAGCCGACCATTTCAGAATCAAACCCACGCTAAAAGAGCTTACAGGGAGCTTGTTCTTATGAAGTGTGTTAATCACAAAAATGTAAGTGAGCTGTTCTGCTTTAAATATTAAAGGATCGACCAGGTAGTTGTTCTTTGTAAACATTTTAAAGACTATTTCAGAGATGACATCGTTTATAGGTTGTAGTGGTTTTCAGAACCTGGCTGTATGTTTGTGTTAAGTACAAAAGGGTCTGAGAAGAGCAGTTGCAGGCTAGTGTTAATACCTGTCCAGTCTTCAAACTCCTCCTTCAGACTCAGGAAGGGAGATGGTGTTACATTGCTACATTTTACAGACAGCTGGCAAATGAGAATACTCTGAATAATAATTGCATTCTTCTTTGTGTTCCTGGTGCTAAACAAGTAGGAGGAAAAAGCCTGCAATAGTTTTTATTTATTTCTTTATTTCGTAATGCATGAATGAGTTAGGAGTCATGCTGTGACAGCAGGAACTGTATGATGCTTGAGAAGCTGTGGAGCAGAGCTGATTAGAGACACTGGGAGAGAAAAAGTGATAAATGTATTGGATTTAGATTATAGAAGTCTGGTATTGGCCATTTTCTGCCTTAAATCACAGCTGTTTGCCATCTTCCTCACCTTCTCACTTGATCTCTCTTCAGCAAGAGAAAATTCTCCCTGGCTTTTAGGCAAGGAAGAATCATTGAAACCTTACTTCTGAGAAATAAGTGGTTTATATGTGGATTCTCTGGAAAATTTACCTACTATCATAATTTATGTGATTATTAACTATTGCAACCCTGCTTGACTCTTGATGAGTAAAATCTTGACCTGTTGCTGCACATACCCTCCATTCTTAGCAACTGGAAAATACTATAAAATTGCTGTTTTTGACTTTGAATCAATTTCTTGCTTCACCTCTGTCTATGGCAAAGTGATATCTCTTTGGTAGTTTTTCTTGTCACTTTTTCATTTAATTTTTCATCATACATAAGAATCATACATTCATACATAACAAGAATCTTAATGAATTTTTTTTATATTTAAAGTAAGGAGCAAGGAAAGACTGACTAATTTCTTCAGGTTTTAACCTTTTAATCCACACAAAATGTTTTTATATTGTATGACTTTTGGAGGATAAATACTTCTCACAAAATCATTAGCATCTATTACAGCATGTTAGGCATGGTTGACACTCTGAGCATCTGGTGCTTCAGTGGATACCAGGAAGATTGTATCAGGATGCTGGATGTCTGTTTTGAAATGTTGATTTGCAACTTTGCTATTGCTGTGATGCGATTATACTTCCTCTCTTTTTTTCCTACAGATAATCGGCTTACTGAATGTGTTCACACCACAGAAATCCCTAGAAGAATTTCAAGATGTGTAAGTTTGATATAAACTAAAGCTGTGAATTAACTTCAAAAATGTTAGCATTGAAAGATGAACAAGGTAAAGAATACAGTAAATTGGCAGCGTTATCAGATTGTTGGTTTTTTTTCCTCTTTATAAGCTACATAGTAATGGAGCTCATGGATGCAAATCTCTGCCAAGTAATTCAGATGGAGCTAGACCATGAACGAATGTCCTATCTGCTTTATCAGATGCTGTGTGGTATCAAACATCTTCACTCAGCTGGAATTATACATAGGGTAAGTGAATTTCCATGTTACTTTTTCATTGCATCAAGTTTTGCCTTAGAGTCCTTCTCCAACCTAAATGATTTTATGATTCTATATAAAAGAGTCAGGAAAAAAGTCAGAAATGTGTGTACAAATAGTGTTCTGTAGCCTATGCCATGGACAGGGAGAGAAAGCTGAAAGGAAATCAAGCTTCCTTTGTTGCTCTGTAATTCTGGAATGGACCTCTTGGATGTTTTTCCTAGATTTGAAAATAATCTGCACAGGACAAAAAAAAATAATTATGGCAGTGAGTTGCATTGCCTTCTGTAATTCTGTATCGCGTTCAATTTTAGCAGTCATGGCAGGAAAGAATATCTGAAATCACCTCCGCCTTTGTTGTTTTGGTAACCAAACCTGAAATTCCATCTTTTGAAAGAACTGCCCAATTTATTTCAGCTCCTTTACTAACAGAGTAGAAAATAAGTATTTGAAGTTTCCAGACAAACAGATCATGATAAAGACCTGTGAGTGGAGCTTTCATACACCTGTGTGTCACAAAGCATTCCTTCAGGTTGCCTGCAGGCAAAAATGACAATTACTTTTCTAGTGGCTTGTATGTGAAATCCAGTTAGGATATTTTGAATTTAACATCACCTATTCAAGTTGAACATCTCACATATATATTTATGTGTAGTGTGATGATTACTTGAGGTTGCCTAGTTATAACTTTTCCAATATGCTTTCTATTATTTTGGGAAACTCTAAACTTGTATTTTTACAGTGTTATGTTCTTCACTGTAATCTTTTTTCGTAGAGAGAAATTATGCAGGAAAAAATTAATTTAATTTATGTATGCACAGTACTTTCAGTCAGTACTGTGTAGTATCCCTCAAGGATGATGTACAGCAAAATCATGAATAGCAATTCTGAATGCTACAACCTCGTTACTATGCTGCGGTGCTTGCCAGTTCAGTAGCCCAGCTCATTGTGGAGTGGCCTGCAAGCTAGAACTGGCAGTATGACACTCCCTTTCAGTCTGCTGTTTCTCATTCAAGAGAACCAGGGTATTGTATAAAGAGCAAATAAAATGTAAAAGACAGAACACTTTTGCTCACCTGGTTCCAGTACGCATCTGCTGTCTCACTCTAGTTAAGAGCTCAGGGAGGGAAGGTGAAGGCTTTCTTCGCACAGTTTGCCCTAGTATGTCTATATTTGAAAGAGCTGGGGAAAGAATAGGCAGAAGCACCACCCAGCTGTTGCACCCTGCCCTTCCTACTCTGCATGTGCTTATAGATGTTCTAGAATAGACAATGAGTCTCCTTCTGTGGGTCAGTGCAGGCAAACGCTAAGTGCTTGTGCAGACATTGCTTCAAGGACAGTTTGTGCTACTGTAAAGTAGGCACTGAATAACTGAGCCTGTAGAAATCAGTAATAAATGGAAACATCTATACAGTCACTGCTTCTTTTCTACTACTAAAGTGGACTGTTGGATAGGAGTAAGGACAGCTTTACCGATACATTTTCTGCCTCTGTAAATATGGGTGGAGTTCTGAAGTGCTTCATGTTGTGCAGTAGTACAGAGTTTATTTAGAGATAGCCCATTCCAATGAGATTGTCTATAGATACAATTGCTATGCAAATAGTGTGCTTGAATGATTTTGAAGGACATTTCACTTGCATGCCTTCTTGGTGGACTTTCGTTTTGCAACTTGCTCTCTGACTGCTTGAAGCTTCAGTGTGTGCAAGCAAAATCTTTGCATTGCTTGCTTGCTTTTTGTGTTGCTTCTTTAAATTTTAAAGTGTGAGGTGTCAAAATTCTTTCTGTTGAACAAGATCTCAGAAGGCAAAGAGGGCATATGGAACGTGTGGCTTCAGTAATAACTCCTTATGCCTGTCTTCTGATCTTTTAGCAGCAGCATCCCAAGTATCTAGATCTAGTGACTTTCTTGAAACTTGTTTCTTAAACATAGTCTGCACTACTGTGGCTGCCCTTGAAACATTCTGAGTAGTAATTCAGTGCACTTATTTAATGTCCTTAAAAGTTTTAAGCAATTTTTGCTATTGATAGTTTCATATGTTTTTTAACTTTGTTATTCAATGCCTAACATAGCTGAGTTGATCATACCATCTCAGCTACTTTCTCAAAACTTGACAAATGACTGAAACTAAAATATTTTCCATGTGTGCCTGTAGCATTGGATGCTCTCTGCCATGCAAATAAGTGTGGTGTTTCCTTATAGCAGACTAGAGGCAGATGTTACACATACAGAATTTTGGAATGTTTCACCTGTAAGTTGCAGAAGATATATTTAGCTCTCGTGGCATTGGGTAAGGATATAGGTTGATAAAGACTTGACTGTGTCTTTGTGCTGACTTTAATAAATGTTGACAGATGAGCACTGTGGTGTTCAAAACATTTTGCAGAGATGGAGTCTCCAGCAAGTCTACAAGTACGCATTCATTTATATTTTGCAATTTGTGGAGGATGAATAATCAGTTGCTGGGTTGCGCCTCACTAACTTGCTGAAGGACACAACCTATCTCATTAGTCTTGCATGGAGGCTCTGTAACATTGTATTCTGCCTAATTTTGAGTACTTAACAAAGGTGCCTACTAATGGAAGGCCTTCACACAAATCTCTTTAGAAAGAGAAAGAAACTTCTTCAAAAATGTAGCTGATTTAAAAAAAAAAAAAAAAAAAAAAAAGAGTTATTTTGATATGCCTTCTGCTATAGGTTCTGGATGTATTTCTACAGCCTAGCAAAGTTAATTGCTCTCACAGGATCTTTTGAGTCCTCATTTATTTAAAACATGAGGTATTGGTCTTGCATGATTTGAAATCCAGTATAAGTCAACACACCTCCATCATTTTGAATAACAGGAATTCTGTATTCTGCATGAAAACATGCTCCTAGGCTTCGTGAAAAACACGCAGTGTTCAGAAATCTAAGATGGACAATACTCTTTAAATTTTAGTTTTTGTTTTCACAGTGTTTTTACTCTTGCCAGGGGAAAATTTGTTCAACATTTTCAGTGTTGATCCTGTAGCTTTGGGGAGGACAAATACAGCTGATATTAGCAGCATGCACCTGGGATTCTTCAGTGAACATCCTCCAGATAATAGATTTGTACAAAAATAAAGCTTATAATAACAGGATTTTAGCAAAATCTGAAATATGCACATTGAATAGCTGAAATGCCTCAGAATACTTGGATTTATTCATTACATTTGAGAATCTTTTAAGCCAAAGTTGTCTTCACAGTCTTTGTGTGTGTGATTTAGAAGAGTGTGTGAATATGTAAGTATGCAAGACATTTAATTACCCATTAAAATTCTATTGTTCCAAAACCTGTGTTTTCTTTTTTGACTTCCTCTCTGTCTTTAGCGCAGCTTAGCCCTCCGAGGGGCTTGAAAGACATACCAGTACAAATGAAAATCTTGCAGATTACCACTTCTGCATCTTTAAGAAATAATGAAAGAAAGATCTGGTTATCAAATGCTCACAGCTAAAATACTCGAGTCCTCTGCCACATCATATTGTTTTGTCTCATTATTCTTGGTAGAGGTAACTAGAAAGGATCTGACCTTGTATGGATGGTTTATGTGTTATGAATGATTTTCTGATGACAAAGTCATTCTGAACCTACTCTGCTCTTAATAATTGCTCTGTGACATTCAGATGTGTGTAAGATATCCAGAGATAATGACTGAGAATGTCTGTAGACATTGCAAAGCCCCTGTTGCTAATATAATTTTGAAGTTGAACTGAAGAGAGTAAAGTTAACCAAAATTCCAACTAAGAACCTCTGAAAGTATGTAATTTTTCACTCCAATTTAATAGTTAAGTATCTGGCAGTTTTTCACTGGTGCCCTTTTTTGTTTGGTCACCAAACTTGGTATAATGTAAACCAAATCCTAAATGAGAAATTAGATCTATGTGAGCATGAGCATTTCCTTCCTGTTCAGAGAAATATCTGCACTGGTTCAAAACAGGTAATGCAGCCCCAACCAGCAAAGAAATCTTTTGCTTTTTGCATTTATGAATGATTCTAATCATTTTTATATTTTTGATTTTTATACTGTAATGATTGTTGCAATTGTCACATTATTTGTGTTCTGCATTGTAGTAATAACTGGTGTTCCAGTGGACAGTTTCTAGTCCTTTTCTCAGAGCTAACATTTCATACTAACCTCAATTTATTTCACACATTGCTAGAATATCTTGTAACACTAGTTGTATTTTCCTTCTTTAATTGCTATATGAATCTACGAGCACAAGAAGGGAATTAATTCTATGGTCTGCTGAATGCATATGAATTAATGTAAGGGGGAAAGTAAACTGCAGTTATAGAAATGACCTAGTCATATATGTGGGGTTGAATGTTAGCAGTATTCTCTTTTAAAAATGTGAACCAACGAGTACTTTGTGCTTGTCTTAGTGGTCATATATGATGTTTCTTTTTAAAGGACTTAAAGCCCAGTAATATAGTAGTAAAGTCAGACTGCACTTTGAAGATTCTTGACTTTGGACTGGCCAGAACTGCAGGAACTAGTTTTATGATGACGCCTTATGTAGTGACTCGTTACTACAGAGCACCAGAGGTCATCCTAGGGATGGGATACAAAGAAAACGGTCAGCAAATATAGTCTTTCTTTGGCATAGCTTTATTTTTTGTTTGGCACGCCACATTTTACATGTTTAATGTTTTTTTTCAAGATGTAAAAGATTTTATAAATTAGGCATGTGACCAAAATGCAGATTCTGGGTACACCAATTTATTTATCTAATTCCATTAATAATGTTTACATTTAATAGGAGAAAAAATTGAGGGCCTTGTTTGTTTAAAAATTTAAGTGACCTGCTTGGTGGATTTATTTTCCTTCATGAAGAAATGGAAATATGTTTTCTTAAGATGTGATACATACCTTTGTATACCGTTGTCTGATTTTATTCCTGATGAGGACATAAATTGCAATTGTGTGTCCCAAATTTAATGTTTAAAACCCTACATTCAGTAAAGCCACTCAAGAGTAGGTGACAAACAAGCTCAAGCCACCTGCCATGGCATTGCTTTTATTAAAACCAGCCCACTTTAAAACTGTTGCACTAAGTTCCTAAACAGTGCTGCTGAAGAAAAATGCAGAGCCCCGTTAAGAAGCATCATAGGTTCTCTGTGGTCCATGATGAGTTACAGGGAAACTTGTTTACTTAGTCCCTCTGCTTGCTTATATTTCCCTCCTCCTTTTACTCCTTTGGCCCTCTGTTTCTCAGTAACCTCTAAAAAATTTAGGAAAGCATTTAGCATTTGAGGAAAAATCACACAATCTTCTAAATGAACACCTAGTATCCTTTAGGAAACCAATGGAACACGTGCTTCCTGAAGGTCTATTTATGGCTCTGATTCTGCTGCCATTTCATTGATCTGCTGTCGCTGCTGTCAGTTCACCTCACCTGGTGCTTCTGCCTCAGGCAGGCATTGTGCACAAGGGTCACTGTTGGTTTGCTGATTGTGTTTTGAACACATTACCTGTTAGTCCTCCAGTGAGCCCCAGGAGGTGCTGCAGTGCTAGAGGCTTTGTTAGCCATCTCCTGGTGAGGTGAGGTGAGGTGTGTGGCTTCTCTGGTTACAGGCACAACTGGGGCTTGCAGTGTTTTTCAGAGTTCTTTAATACAGTCTGCATACTTCCCTGGCAACTGCATAGTATTAGGACAAGTTCAGGTCGTACAGAAAGTATAACTGTTATGTTCACAGAAACTGATTTCCTTTTTGTTATTGTTTATGAAAGCCAGGAAGAACAACTCTTATCAGTGTGACAGTGGAAGAATCCAACTCAAAGGAATGAGAATAGGTCTTTTTTCAAGTCTGTGATTTATGTTTCTGTTTGGATCATTAATCTGCCAGAGAGGATGTACAGTTGGCTATTTTTTCTGTAACTTTTGAGACAGATGTCGAGTGAAGCAAGCACAAGTTACTTTTTTTAACTGCTGAAGTTCTGTAGAAACACTGCTTTAAGTTTTTTCTTTCTTTTTTCTTTCCCTGAAACCTAGCAATGGCCAGCTAAGAGGCAATAGTCACAAAACCCTAAAGCTGTAGAGTCATTCAGCTGCCTTGCAGAAGGAATTGGTGTGATGGAGGTCTCAGGTTTTCTGCCATAGATTGCTCAGTTCGCACTTTTCTCATGAAATTTGGCATTTTGAGTTACAAAAGTGTGAAACGTTCTTTCCATTCAAATGATGCTGAGGTTTATTGTTGTTGTGTTCTAGAGCACCCTGTTGTTGCTAGTGGCTGTGCTAATGACAGCCCCCTTCTCTAAGTCAGGAGTGAGTTGTGTTTTGCAGCAGAATGTAAATCCAAATTTACTTTCATATGAAAAACTATATAGCATCTTCCCAAAACCTGAATATATGGTCATTGAGTTGAGAATGACACTTTCTATAGAATGTGTATTTGTTTGCTAACTGGTTCAGGAAGCAGCCTGTATTTTCTTCCCTATGTACTATTGTTATGAGGAGGTTATTTACATAAATTGTGTTCTTCTTCACAGTCGCTGCCTGATGAGTTCCTTCCTGTGCATCTCCACTGACAGCACAGTAAGGCTGCAGAGGGCAGCAAGGCAAGTAGAAAGGATGCACTTGTAGTGAGATCTATGGGCTGCCCAGGATCCACTCCTGTTGACATTGATGCCAGTTGTAGCCCTCCAAACTCATAGTTAAAGTAAAGGTTAACTTGTTTAATGTAGAATTAAATATTAAAAACTGACAACAATTAACACTTTAAAAAGAGACTAACATTTAAAGCAGGGTCATCTGGCATCTTCATGCTCTTTCAGTTCCCTGCTGCACTTCCCCTTCAAGATGAGGGAGGACACATCAGTACATGTACCGATGACTGAGACACATACTGAAGAGCAGTAATCTTTGGTGCTATGAATGTGCACATGAAATCTGTAACTAAAAAAAAAAAGGAGCGAGTGGCCCAAACAAGCAGGTGACAGGGTTGACTTCTGCATTCTGTTCTGTAGGTTAAACAGAGGAGTTGTATGTAATGTTTTTCTTAGTCCCCAGAGTCTTCTGATGTATGAAGATAGATCATTGACTCATGTTGTCAGACTTCTCTATGCAGTTATGGGAGGTATTTTCATCACATTGGACACATTATTTACAGTACATTTGAATATTTTTTGATTTGTGAAGGCAGCAGAATATGTACTTTCTGTAAACTTTCAAAAAGTGTTTTAAAGGGAATACAGTAAAAATCATAAATCATTTTTAAATGAACCAGGCCCTTAATTTTGACCTATTAATATGTACAGTTGTGATCTCTTACCATACGATTTAAACATTATTTTAGAGGAACTTTTATTACATAAGAAGGAAGGAATGTTTTCAATAAGAAGCAATGTTGTCTGCTTGAAATTGTTCAGCTCCCTCGCAACTTTCAAATGTGATTTTTGGCATACAGTTTTTCTCATTTAAATCCCCTTCTTCTCTGCTTAACTGAAATTCTGGTCTTACATTTGATATAAAACTATTCATCATAATACAGATGCATGATTATGACATGAAGAAAACATTTGCATACAGAGTTAATAGAGTTTCTCTGATGCAACTTCAGAAAAATTGGCATACCTGTAAAAAGTGAACTTGTGCATCTCTGAGTATATCTTCTGAATGATTTATTTTAAGATATTGTGGAAAATAATCTTTTGTACACAAAACACTGCTATTGAGCTTTTTGTTTGTATGTTATTTCAACAGAACTAGAGAAATATTCTTAAACCAAAGAACTTTAACTTGAAATCTCTTAGGAGCGTACTAATATTGTCATTAACTGATCCTCTAAAATTCTAAGTGATCTTTTACTGATTGTAGTTGCTTCTTGTTTAAGGGGAGAGAGATATACATGGTAATCTGACTTACGGGAAATACTTGATGGCAAATGTTAATTCCTATGAAACAACTAATTCTGCTCCTGCAAGTATTAACTATTCAGGTATCCCGTATTTTGTAAGGTCATTTTTGGTTACTACTCTTAAAATGATTCCTATAGTTACAATGAAAATTTCCATAAACTTGTCTTGGAGATCCGACTGTTCTACTGAAAGAGCTTTGCAAGCCTCGGAACTTGAAGATGCGCGTTACTCTGCTTGATTCGTGTGTATCTCTCCCTCTGCTGTAGCTCTTGCTCTCGCACTGTGTTAAACAAAAGGATGGTTTTCTGCCTTGTATTTGAGACAGTTAAAAGCTAATCCTTAAATACTGTGTTCTTAAAAGTGGTTTCATTGATTAATATAAAGATTTGCTCTTCTTCCTGTGCTGTCTCTGCAGTTTATAGAATGCAGTCATGTTATGCTTCTTTTAATTTTAAATGACCGTTTGCTTTGCTTTTCCTTCTTTTTGTGCTACAAACATAGTGGATTTATGGTCTGTGGGGTGCATTATGGGCGAAATGGTTTGCCACAAAATCCTCTTTCCAGGAAGGGACTGTATCCTTGTGCTGCTGCAGCAGGTTGAATTAGTTAGGAAGTGATTAACCTTTTTATTGATGTTATGTCATGAAAATGCATATTGTACAATTTTTTTTTTTTTTTTATTAAATGGACATGAATTTTTCTTGTGATAACACTGAAAAAAAAAATTAAGGACTTCATTTTGAGTCAGGCTGCACCTAGCAGTAGGACATAGTCTCTGCTGGTCCTGTAGTTAGCGTACGTTCACCTTCACTCACTTCCATTGCACATGCTTTTTATAGTCACTTCATGTGTGTGTGCGTCTCGATATTTTTATTTCCTTTCTTTTGATAACTATCTTTTCTGTTAATATCATTGCATTTTGTTTTCAGTTGACATTTGGTCAGTTGGGTGCATCATGGGAGAAATGATCAAAGGTGGTGTTTTATTTCCTGGTACAGATCGTATCCTTACCTTTGGCCTAAGATGTAGTTTGAAAAGGTCAAAAGATACCACAACGATTTAGTTCCAGGTTAAGGTGGATCTAATTCTTAAAATACTGTTTTTAAATTGCCTTTTCAAAAAAGCATTTGCAAGTTCATAATTTTGGTTCCAGGTTGCTGCAGAAATAACTACAGTTATAGCACTTAGAGCAAACAACAGCACAGATAGCTTTCACGTGTATGGCACTCTTTAGAAATCAATGCTTAGTGAGAAATTCTAGCAAGAAGAGCAAAATACCACTTGGGTGAGCAGGCTTATTTTTCCTTTTTTGTTTGCTTGTTTTCAATTTGATATAGTGTCTATTCATTGATTTTGGATGTTGTCATATTTAAGAGAGGCATTTATGTTTATTTAGGTGGTTTACTGGTTCACGTGCGTTGCTTTTTGCTTTGGAGCTCATTTCTATGTAGTAACTTAGTAATCTTGTTTGGTATCCAAGCACATATAGCTGTTGTTATTTTTTTTATGTTTTATAGGAGACGTGTAATTAAATGATTGTCCTCCAGAGTGTTTTATTTTTGTATGCAGAAATGATCCTGCAAACAGCTTTCAGAAATATCTGGTGCTCCTGTCTTGCTATTTCATGAATGGCTCAGTGGTGTCTGCCTGGGTGGTCGTACAAACAAATGCTTCAGACAAGGGATCTGCTGCAAGCAAACAGAGCTGAGAACTCTGGATCCTCACTAAAATAAATGGAAATTGAATTGGAATTTGGCATCTTGTTTCACCAGTAGTTGATTAGATGCCATGAGAAATCTTTCCTGCTTTTCTTACAGGTTGATGGTTTAAAAACCAATACATTTGCCTGCTAGCTTTGTGAATCCAGGTCGCTAGCTAGCTTGACTTTTAATTCAGGCAGTATCTTTCTTTCTTTTTTTTTTTTTTTCTTTTTTTTTTTTCCTTCAAGACCTGTGCTAAAGCATTGTAGAACTTGAAAATCCTTGAAGCTTTAAGAGAGAGCCTGCTGATCCACCTGAGGGCTTAGGGAGCCCAGTGTCTAGTCTTAGGCAGTAGCCAAAAAGAAAATGCTGGGGAGACTATTCGAATGAAATAAGCATGTGTGAAATTTTACTGGAGCTCTCTCCCAGTATGTAACCATCTGCAATGAGCCAAATTTTTGTTTGCTTTGTTTTGCTTAGTAGCATGTATTAAATTCTTCTGCCATGAACTTGTCAATGTCCCCTAGCTGTATAAACTTTTTGGGGAAGATGTTCCTTGGCTTCAAAAGTCTTTCAATTCTTCATTGAAGACACTGGCAAAATTGTTGCTGACCTGTATGTGCCAGGATTTAATCCTTCATGTGGCCATGCTGCTATGCAGTGTGTTTTGTCAGTGTGAGATCACTAATTTGGTACAGTCCAGAACTCAGCTGAGTTACCGAAGTGAGGCGGAAGGACAAAGCAGCTTTAGGAGGTGATTCTCTCCAGTTCCTTAATGAGGCTTAGTAGTTGGAGTATTGTGAATATCAGTTTAGATCAGGAAGTTAATTGTTCTACAGAATGTCTGTCTTTTAACTTCCTCTGTTTTGCAGAAGTATATCCTTTGCCAGTTAATTCTTATGATTTCAAGTGAAATATGTGTTGCCTTCATTACTGAGATGCTGAGTCTTCCTTGCTTCTCTGTTTTCTCTATGAAGATGCTGCTAATTAATGATGAACTTGAAATTTTGTGGCGATTTTCTGTTTTAATCTCTGTTGGATATTTCATGTGGTTTTAACATAACTTTTAACTGCAAATTAGACACTGTTTTTCTTAGCTGTACAACCTTAGATATTGATCAATGGAATAAAGTTATAGAGCAGCTAGGAACACCGTGCCCCGAATTTATGAAGAAATTACAGCCCACAGTTCGAACTTACGTGGAGAACAGACCCAAGTATGCTGGATATAGCTTTGAGAAGCTTTTTCCAGATGTCCTTTTCCCAGCTGATTCTGAACACAACAAACTTAAAGGTAAGTGTGCTGTATATTTTGAAAGTTCTTAAACTGTGCTGTACCCAACAGAAATGCATCTTGGTTTTGTTCACTATAAAATCCTCCTGTTAAGGATTTACATATTAAAACATTTATGTAATGGGAGCAGATGGAAGTACAGAGGTTTGGTTACTGACACTTTCTCATATTCTCTGGAATAGCTCCTATTCTTTAGATATCTGAACAGAGAAATGGAAGTGAGAAGTGAGAGGAGAGAGGAGTAGATGTTTCACAGCCACAGCAGATCTCGTTTGTTTGGGGATGAAAATAAAGTTTTTTGCATTCATTATATACATATATCCTTTAGTTTCTGGAATAAGTTACTATTTCTAAAGCTCACCGTGTTTTCTTTGACTAACAATTACAGTTTATGTGGAAAACAAAAAAACAGCTGTCACTTAGAGCACAGGGATAGGTGCTTGTCCTCTGCTACTCCAGCCAAGGCTGTACTGCCAGCAGGTACAGAGCCATGCCCAGGAGCAGAGTATACTGAAACCCTGGTGAGACACATCTGTAGCTTGATGTTATGGTGGTAAGGCCTTTCCAGCAGGCCTTAATTCATGGAGAAAAAATGGAAGACTCCAGATATTTAGGATTCACCTTCATGAATCCTTTGTATTTAAACTGTTCATGATGTGTAGTTGGTTTTACTTGAACACGGTTTATACAGCTTCCTTACTGTACCTTACTCTAATCATACTAGGTATTCTGTACTGCAAACACATGACCTGGTATGTTCATTTCTTCTTCCTTCTTATCCAAGATTTTCCTATTTATTATATATGAATACTTTGCCCATAGAAAACTAATTTAACAGAATACAGACCTCAGCTATACCTTGAGACTCATAACACATTTTACGTGTTATATCCTTTTGGATCATCACAATCAATGCTTTTTCTTCTTCAGCATTTATCTTTCAGACACTTCAAAAGTGTTCTCCCTCTGCTTCCAATCTGGTGAAACGTTATTACTTTGTATAATTGCTTTCAATCTTCATAGTGAAGACTTCAGCGTTTAGTTGAGTTTGAGCATCCCTTTCTAAAAGGGAATTTAGCTAACGAAAATAAAAGGTTGCTGGAAGTTGCAGTGTTGCAGTTGGACGTTGCATAGAAATGACGTGATGGCTTTGTGGCATACTCTATCTTTCCATCCAGCTGTTTTACTTGTCTTACATTTAAACAGCCAATTCCATAGTATTTGTCTTCAGTGTATTTGTGTGTTTTTCCTTTTTTCTATTGCGTTTTGTTTCTTGTCCGTGTTAAGCCAGTAAAGATTTTCTCCTAGCTGAAGGTTATCCTTTCTCATCTTTCAGCCAGACTTTGCTTAAGCAAAAATAAAGGGTGCTTTCTTGCTCTATTCTGTTTTTCTGAGAAAGAAAAGAGAGATTAGAAAAAAATGTAGTAAGGAGGAATTACTTGTTAATGTCCACTTCTCCCCAGTCCTCTTTTTTTTAAAAAGAAATCTGTTATGACTTATTTTTCAGTCTTCTGTTAATTGTCTAGCTCCTATTCTCATTTTAAATTACTATTTAAATTATTATTGACCCAGTAACAAGCTTGATAAATAAGAAGTATTCTGTTGTTGGTGTTCCCTTGCCTGCTTGTAGGATGATTATGCATAGTTGCTCTAGAACTATTTCCATGGGATGTTTTATTTTTTTTCTAGATAGAACACACTCATAAATTCTTTCCAAAATATTGGTCTCTTCATTTTTCTATTTTCATCACATGCACCATTTTCTTAAACTTCAAATTACACGAGGGTTGTATAAATAATAAAATGGAGTTTGTTATTTAAGTGTTCTCTATTTATGAGCTTCGAAAGACTGTGATGTGCATGTGCCAATAGTCTAAGTAGAAAATTTCACTTTTGCAGCAAGTCAAGCAAGGGATTTGTTATCAAAAATGCTGGTTATAGACGCCTCAAAAAGAATTTCTGTGGATGAAGCCCTCCAGCACCCATACATCAATGTTTGGTATGATCCGTCAGAAGCCGAAGCTGTAAGTCCTTGTTTTAGGTCTCCAACAAGGAAGATGTTTTGTCAAAGCAAGCTTGTTTTGATGCTCTGTGTAACTGCTTCAGAGGAGACTGCTTCATGCTTTACACATTTCACTAGAAGCTTAACCGAGCAGTAATCATTTCTATTGACGTTGATCAATATACTTATTAGAATTAATAATAGGGATGGGCACAGTCTTGCACGTACCTGCAGTACCTGTGTATGTATTTGTGTATAATTGCATATAAATTCCTAGACATGGAGCAATGAACTGAAAGTCTCTGATACAGAGTTCTGATTTATTGAGTTACAGTTGTTACAGCACAGCTTGATTACTTGTGACAGTATTCCAGTCATTTGCTCCTGGGTAAGAGGAATACTTTCATTACTTACAGCAATTGATAGCATTCTTAAACTGGCAAATGAGTGTTTCAGCAAAATCTGATACAAGATCTGAAGCTTTGAAGTACTGCCAGTAATGAACAAAGAGATCAACTGAAAATCTTCCTTCCTTTAAAAAAATAACTTCAGAAAAAAAATCATTTTTAAGAGGAAGTAAGCTGGTGATGGCCCACTAAGAACAGGAAAAGATGTTTGGTGTAAGTGGCACAATTAGAATTCTGCTGATCTATTATATCTAGAAAGAAAGTGATCAATTAACTCTGAATAGGTGAAAAGGGCTGCTTGTGCTTGAGACCACTGCAGTTAGGAGCATTATTACCAGCCCTTTTAGTTTCTGTTTTAATTAATATACTAATATTCATAAATGAGCTAACTAGAACAAGTTGAAAACACGAAGCAGCATCTAGAAAATGAGCCAAGCGTGAGAGATTATTTGACCATGTAAATACAGTCTTTTTAAATCAGGTCCTTATTCTGAATATCTTATTTCCATTTTTCACTTATTGTGCTTGTCTATCCCCTTTGATTGCTTTATCATGAGTTAGTTTTGTTTTCCAGCCCCCACCAAAGATACCAGATAAGCAGTTAGATGAGAGGGAGCACACAATAGAAGAATGGAAAGGTAAGAATGATCCTTTTGCATATTCAACAGGTTTTTAATGTAGGTGTGCTTTTAGGCTTACTTGTTACCAAGATTCTTCTGAGTAACATAATAGTATATACTTAAACTGCTTGGAATGGCAAGGGAATAGATCCATGCTTCACAACCTCTTGGTTGTCTGGACAGAAAACGTTTTCTGTAAAGGTGATGAGTCTTTGCAGGGAGTTGAAGGTCGCTCAGCTGTAGGCCTGCTCATTTCGGTCAACTTTTGCAAATGGTAAAGCAGCATTTTTAGGAAGGGAAACACTTCTGGACAAAACTGCTACGATGAAAAAGGATGGAGGAGTTGGAGCACTGTGAGTCTGAATATTAGCATGTTAACGTTATTTGCGCTGAAAGAGGAAGCCAAAGGGAGTGTTAGCAGTGGGCAAGGGAGCGAGGTTGTAGCTCATGTGGGAGATGGCAGTGGTTTCATATATAGAATCTTGAGAAAGTAGCCAGGGCTGAAGTGTGAGAAGTGTCAGAGCATGGCATAAGGATTACCTCTAAGAATATGAGTTTTAGATTTCGGTACTGGTTTTGTATCTGTTTTTTCTTTATACTTACAAAGTATAAGGAGAACATCCTTGAAAGTAAAGCTTTTGTTTCATTTGGAAACTGCTTCTAAAAAGATGTGCTACTGCAAAGGCTCCAATGCTATGCATCTGCCTCTGCATCTGTTGGTGTTTGATGTTATTGTTTCCATAACCTTGCTATAACCTTCTGTACCCTTTGGACTTTATGAACTAAGAGATGGTCACTGTGCTTTAAAGACCTATGGAGATTAGTTTTAAGATACATGAAACTTCTAGTGGAGAAATGTTTAATATATGTATTACTGATTCCATATGTTTTCCTTTGCTGCTGTTAGCAATTCAGATGATATTGCGTGCCCTTATAGTTCTTCAGAAATCACATATGACTTTTGTTAGAATTCTTTATGTAAGTAAATGATTGATTTACTGTAGAAGTACAATATTTAACTGCCCTCTCTAAAATGTATTACTCTTTTGTATAGCCTAGTTAGTACAGTGTTGACAACGCTGAAAAAATTCCTTCCTTTGGACCACTGCTGTCCTTCATCATACGATTTAACATATCAGAGGATTTAGTGTGTTCCAGAATTGGTATTGATTATTTCTAAGCAAAAGGCAGAGCAAATACCTGAATTGATAATTCTGTTATTCAGTGAGCTTGGAGCAGGTGTGTAGCTCTCCCAGTGCAAGGGCCATGTGCTGGTTAGTTCTTGAGAGCCTGTCTCCAAGGTGCATTTAAGTGCCTTAGACCATAACCCTTCTCACTCAGTATAAACAAGGTGCTTTTATTTAGGATGCTTGCTCGCTCTATCTCAGGTACTTCATTTAGTTCTTTGTGCTTCATGTATTTTAAATAGGGTTAGCAGTAACACTGAGCTTTGGATCCAGAGAAATGTGAAGGCTGCTTTCAGCAAGAATGTAGTGTGCTGACTGATCTAATACTTTGTACTGAAAACGCTTGGGAAGGATTGGAGCCAGACTGGTATAGCCAGAAGGAAAATGATACTTTTTTTAAAAAGTAGGACAAACGTTTAATGGAATATTTTTGACAGTTTCATTGCGTTGGCTGATAATGGACACAGGGCTATAATATTTAGTACTGCCACACTTGCAACCACTTTCTGTTAGAAACCTATTAAATAAAAGCTATCAGGGTTTTAATTGTAAAGGCAGAGAGAAGGAGAACTGTGGAAATTCTCTTGCTGTCTGTCTTCCACACAAATGTGTTCCCCTTCTGAAGCAGCAGGTATGCGGTTATGTTGCTAAAATAAAAACTTAAGTATTTCAAGCAATATGAAAGTTACTTTTGAGACTGCCACTGCCCTTGAAATTGTAATTCCTGAATACTTTTTTCTTTCAAACCATACATGAGTTGACCAATGATAAGAAGTAGTAACCTGACAAGTCAGTTCTTACAATCTGCATTTAATGTGTTTAGTCCTGTTCTTTTATTGCTCCTTCTGGAGATTCACAGCTGAAGTGTTTTCTGGATGACAGGATACCATTAGCTGAGAAACGTTCTGGCCTGTATAAAGGGAGAGTGTATGATTCACATAACAAACACTTATAACTTATTTTAAGGATGAGGGAGGTGAAGTTGCTGCTTACATCTATCCATAGTGTCGTATTCCATGTCACAGTGACCTGTTGTTGCTGAGGAAACTTAGTGGCAAATATGTGTTGGGAGGATGGCAGAGTGCTGTTTGGACACATTTGTTGTGGTTTTTGTTCCTATCTCACCCAAGAGCTTATGGCCTGATCTCTCCTAAGGAAACTACTACTTGCCAAGAATATCTTGGTCAGTTTCCTTATTCAGGCAAATACCTATGAGAGGAAAAAGGCAGGTTAAATCGTAAGAGTTCTGAATTTTTTTCAGATCCTTAGGCAGACTACATTATGAAAAAAATAATAATGTGTGAAAGGGCATTTTAAAGATGAGAATGAATTAATGACAAAGAAACTTCCTCTGTAGAACAGCCTGCGTGGTTCTTTGAAGACTGCTGATCTGATTCTTCTGTACCAAAGAAAGCATTGATAAAAACAGAATAGTCATTAAGACTCAGTTTAGCCTCAGGTCCCCAGACTGTCTGGACAAAAGTCTGAGACCAATGTCAGTGTGTTCTTGAGCTTTCCAGGCCATTGTAGCTCCAGAAGTAGAGAATTGTACATTACAATACCACTTGCCCGTTCTGTAATCTACAGCCTGTTGTTCAAAACTAATTCTAAACAGTAATAGAACTAAGAAATGTAGATGTATGTTTTAATGGGAGATAAACTGTCAATTGAGGATTTTTTTTTGTTTGCAAATTCAATTTTCTGCCTTATTTCCCTTCGTTTTCAGAATTGATATACAAGGAAGTCATGGACCTGGAGGAAAGAACCAAGAATGGGGTTATACGTGGGCAGCCAGCCCCTTTAGGTTGGTTACAATAAAAGCACAGTACGAAACTACATGGAGCTGTAGGTCAGGAGAGTGTAAAACTGTTCAAGATATCCAACTATAACCAGGCTCAAAAATACGGCCCTGGAATGACTGATAATCTCTAGAATTCTCTTTGAATTTGCACTTATTTGAATGGAATGTGGAGTTGGCATCATTTGGTGGAATATCTCTTTTTATTAATCTGATAAATTATTATTGATACTTCATTTCAATCCTCTATCGAGATCTCAGGAAGTATTCTGTAGAGTACTTCATATGTGTACTCCATTGCCATAGTCAGGTAAGATACGTAATTTGTAGCTGGTGCAGTATCACATGAAGATATAACCACTACTTTTATCTATTAAGTAATGAAACAGGATTTCTAGATTGCATGTCTTGAAAATTCCTCTAAAGAGAAAAATTATGGAGTATATTCAGAAAGCGTAGCTGAACATCAGAACAAGGTGGCAAAAGTTAGCTGCTGCTGCTGACTCTTCTCAAAGTTTACTGATGCCTGGCTTTGAACTGCAGCACATCTGAAACTGGCTGTATGCAGTGCAGATGGATGCTTGCTCTTCCCCTGACTAAGTGGGAGGATCTGATGAAAAAACATGCCATTTTCTTTCCCAAAATATGTAGGTATGGTCTAAGTTGGCTCTCAACATGTAGTAGGATATCTTAGCCCTGGGTTTTTGTACTATTTGTGATTTTTAACCTTCAGCCATTAGCATTTATTGTAATTAGACAGGTATCCCATCATGTGAGTTTAGTGTTTCTTACCATAGCATTCATAAAGCACCACATTTTTATGACTTGTGGATTTTATTTACGTTGACAGTTGTTTGAGATGCATGTCTTCAAACTCGCCAAAGTGGGGAGAAGTAGTGAGTGTTAGGAAGAGGCAGACTAATGCAAGTGCTGAGCCGTGCGACTGTATCTGCAACTGATTTGCTGTTTTGTTTCTCATAGCACAGGTGCAGCAATGATCAATGGCTCTCAGCATCCATCTTCGTCGTCATCTGTCAATGATGTGTCTTCAATGTCAACAGATCCAACATTGGCCTCTGATACAGACAGCAGTCTAGAAACCTCAGCTGGACCTCTGGGTTGCTGTAGATGACTACTTGGTCTTTTGGGGGGTGGGAGGGGGTTCCTTTTAGTCATTAATAGGGCACCTTTAAAATTTGGTGGTATTTTTGAGTGTTTTTTCAAAAATAATCATAGAATTCATCATAAAGTGCTGTAATTTTAAACTGTAAGTTGTGTTAAAAGCAGCCACTTTTTTTGCTGTAATTAACTGTAAAATATTAAACCTGATAATTTTTATTGTGGTTTTAAAATCTGCATATTTGCTTTACTATTATGCTGCTGATCTTTTTTTTACTGAATTTGTAAGATTTGTTTTATCAAAGCACATATTAATGTTGTGGTCATTACCATATCATGTATTATTTAAGATTTTATAGGTTTTCAATTTTTTTAAATTTAGAATTTATTCCAGATGTTTTGTTCATGATATCCTTCGAAGTTTTATGCTTGGTCATATGTCCATATTGAGGGGGAGAGAGAGATGGGTGCATCCAGCTGTAGGCTTTTTGGAGCGTGCTGCTATGGTGCTGACAGTGAATAATATGCTCTTTCATTTTGGCCACTTGCCTTTAATACTTGAGTAAAAGCAACAATTACTGAATTTTGTTAGAGAAACAGTATACAGTCCTTTGTAAAGTAATTTCATTTGAATGGTTTTATGATCTTAAGAAAGCAAAGCCTACCTTAAAAGCTGCAGAAGCATCTAGCCTAACGAAGAGATGTGATGTCTTCTGCACGACTGTGGCATGCCAAATCTCATGATCACCATAAAACAAGAGGATACTTCATGAATAATACATTACAATGCAAATAAACTGTTTACTTCTAGCTTGTAGCCTGTTTTTGTACACAAAACAAAGGTGTATCCAGGACATCTAGATGCCAACAGGAAGAACAAATATGCTGTAGTTATACTTCCATCTAGTATATGGTTCTTGGGAGTTTAGTTTCTTGCTACTTTTGTCTGCAAAGGTGAGTGCTTTCTGGGGAGAAGAGAAAAGGATGTGAATGCAGCAGGGGCAAAATTTCAGCTGTTCTTTCTCCACCAAAAATAACCAATCGCTAAAAACCGTGAAGTGGTAGAAGAACCTCAGGAAGCTTCCTGTAGCTAAGCATTAAGTGAGCAATATGTGCCGTCCAAAGGAGGGAGAAATCGTGCTGTGTAAATTAATACGTATCTCTTTCATTTGACTGGGAGACCACTGTAGCAGAAGTCGTAGTAATGGTTCATTTTAAGTCATTAATATGCAGTAGTTTTCAGCACTGAAACTGCAGGTTTCAATACAATTTTTAAACAACAGATATATTGAAATATGTAGAACAGTTACTAAATAGTCATGTAAAATGGTACTGCTCCTCACGGAAGTATTTTAACTGTTTACATTTTATATTTACAGAATGATTTATGTATAACTGACTTAAGTTTATGTATGAGTTAAACAATCATTCAGAATTTGCTCCTTTGGAAAATGCAGATTTTTAGTGAAGCTAGGCTGTGTAATTGATTGCCATGTGTAGATGCATATTTTGTGTAGTGAATTAGAATGTGAAGAGGAATTTAAATTAGTAATGCTCACCAAAATGAGCATAAAAAATTACGGAAGTCTTGCCAGGCACAGAGCAGAAGCAAATAATGTGACTGGCTACAAAGGTCATCCGGGAGCGACTGATGCTCTTCAGTGTGGTTCCTTCGCTTTGTTGGGTTAAAAGTCTCTTTAGTGGTTAGAATGGGAAGAGGGAAATTCATCCTTGCAGCAAGGTTTCAGAAAAATGTAAGTGACAGTAATGCCTTCAACATCTAATGTGTCTCTTGAAAAAAAAATGCAGGATACAAGGAGTGGTAATGTCTCAAAGATGACTAAATTGATAAACTGCACAGTTGTTTCCCTGGCCTGGCTAGACTACTGGTAAGTGTTATTTGTGTGTGTAATTTTGGTTTCCTCATTTGTATGGAATATTTCAATATTGCCTTTCTAAACCACATTTGTTAAGGCAATTATTTTTACGGGATCCTGCCAAATTGTATATTACCTCAGAATAGGCAGATCTTATTGGACTTTTCTCACACTGGAACATAGAAAATCTGCTCGATTTGAACAGAGACCAATAGAACAGTCTATTTTGTAATTATTATTTTTTTTTTTTTTATGAAAGCTTAAACTGTGAATTAAGCCAAAATTTTTGGTCATAGAACAGTACTATTTTGCTACGCAAGGGTTAACCTGGAGTATGAAGTTAACGTACTGACAAAATCAAATTCAGATGCCTGTAGATTCTCTAAAGAATGGGATTTGGTAAATATAATCCCTGTTTCAATTGATTTTGGACCCCTTTGTATTGCAGTGATGACTGAAGTATTTGGAAACTTTAATTTTTGTTATCACTTTCCAGTGTCCTAAAGAAAAATTGCTTTAAAATGCATATTGAGTGAATCTGACCATTATTTTTTTTCTTTCAACATAAGAAGGCTGAGTCTAATATTACTGCAGCAAGCAATCAATAGTAACTTCATTTTGCTCATAATCTCTAAGAGGAATTGAGTTTTTCTTTTCTTGTAATGTAGTGTTGATGAATGGCTGGGACTGTTCTCTGCAACCTGTAACAGTATAAAGTGAGCCATGTTTAAAGTGATTATTTCACTGAGGTCCAAGGGTCCACCTGTAGTCCACTCCTAGCATCGTCTTCATAGCAGTGTTACTTGCTTTTTTTCTTCCACTTGATTGCATTTTAGGCAAACTTAAAAGACAAGTGAATCAGATTCGCAGTAACCAAGTTACTGCAACAGTAGGCAAGTCTTATTTCTTTTTATTTGTTGAAGTATAAAATGATTTCAGAGAGAGTTGTGCACTGCCGCAAATAGCAAACAAAGGGGATGAGTGCAACTGTTCTTGTATATTCTACTGCCAGCTAATATGCTATCTAATACACTGTAAAAATTTATTCCTGAAATATTAAGCTTTATTTCAGTATACGATTTCAAAATCTTTTCACAGTAACAGGCTTTACTAAAGTGCATGCAATGTTCCACTTCTAGGGCCGTTCCAGCCCATTGGAGTTGGTAGGGATTGAATTGCAGTGAGCTGTGTCTGATTTCATGTCAGGTGAGCTTAAAAGTTGAGCAGTAATAATATTAATTCCCACCTTCTGTGGCGGGCTCTAAAAAAGCTCCTCTCCCTTTGCAGAATTCGGTTCCTCAGGGTTTTTAAATAGATGGAAAGATGAGGGGGAGAGGGGGGGAAGTTAATACTGTTACTGTATGCTGTACCTCTGCTCTGTGATGTCTTTTGATCTGTGAAGTCTTTTGTTGAGGCTACACAGTGGGGTTGGTGTGAGTGTGTGTGTGAAGGGGGAAGCTGGACTGCCAGAGCATCAGCTGAACCACCTGAGAGCAGCCTGACTGACCAGGCCACCTCTGCTTCACTCCTTCAGCTAACCTGAAGAGACGTGGCACTTTCCCCTGTGTAGGCACTGTGCAGTTTGGATTTTTGGTTTAGAAAAATCTTACTATATTGTATGTACATTAGTTTCTTTTTGGATGAGAATTCCAGCTAGATACAAAGATAATGTCAGTATGAAACTGGTAAGCCTTCCTGCCCCATGCACACACAGAAGCATGTAATCACGTGTGTGTGAATTTAAGAGGATGTAGTGAGCTGTAAAGAGACAATTGTGGCAATAGCACCCTCTGCTGTTTCAGTGTACAAGCAGAATGCTATTGATGGGTTTGCTTTATGGAAAATTGCTTCTCTGAATATAAAGGCTATTCTGTTAGAAGGAAAAACTCAGCACCTTGACTGACATTTTATATTTATAATGCTTCAGCATTAATACATTCAACATTAACCTCAACGTTGCATAAAGAAGATGATCAAAGAGCTAGTACAGGTAGATAGTTCTTGCCCAACCAGGAATCCAGTATTTGCTGTTAACAGCAGCTTGTTCACATAGTTATATTTCATTTGTTAAATTTCATTTGCCTGTTAAATTTTTGGTTCACCTGTCCGGATATAGTTTGAGGATTGGAGCTGAAAGAGAGCAATCTGCATAGGATTAGGAAGAATTTTAATGGAACCTGTGATGAGACTCTACTGCCTAACTAAATTCCAGTTTGTTTTATTTATCTTTAGTTATGGGCACTGGATCAAAGTGATATTTCAGTTGATCTCTCTTATGCCCTAACACGGATCTCTCTTTATGGATGTGTTATAATAGATAGCATTGTTTCCACTTTTGCTGTTAAAATTTTAAGCAAGGTTTTCTTGATCTACCTCACACAAACCACCTACGTTTCTAAATAAGCAAAGCTACCCCTTGCTACTGGAACTACACTGAATGTGAAATAGAAAATTACACTTCCTTTAGAAAATTGAACCCTTTGGCCAATGTTGAGACAATAGCAGTAGTTATGTTTCTTATATATTTCACGTAAGATGTTCATGTGTAATATATAGTTCGTGTACAATAATGTACATCTAGAATATTGTGTTAGCTGTAAATTGGTGATTTTATTATTGTAGTCTGGTTTTGTAGGTAAAAATAGCTTACTAGTAGTGTCAGCTCATCCTTTGCATTTTACAAAAGGAATAATTCTTGGTAAGCTTTGCATACAGATGAATTACTTTTGTAGGCCCAATATCTAGTCTATTTTTGAGAGTTCTTTAACTTTTCTTACTAAAGTTGAGAAAGGAAAAAAAAAACACCTTAACGATTGTGATCATTCCTTCTGCCCCTTTTAAAGTATATTCTTAATTTTGTTTTGTCCCAGGAAATACCAACGGGAAAATACATCATGAAAAATAGTGGGAGAGCTATTTTTTTTCTTCCCTGCATTTGATAGCTTTCCTGTTTTTCTTTTATTCCCTCCAAATAAGCTGTTGGTGGGGCATTACTGAAAGCATTGTGGTTTTTTCAATCATTCATGCCATAGGTCATTACATGTGCACCACTGGAATGTATACATTGTTATCTAGTATGTTAATTGGTTATAATGATATTTTAAATAAAAAAGGAAAAAAAAAAAGCTTGACCATTATGCATTTAGTGTTTCTTCATTGCTAGGCTGGAATGACAAGCATGGATTTGACAGTAAGACTGCAGCTGGAGCTGTATTAGTGTTGGTCTATCCTGAAAAATGTTTTAAGTGGTATTTATGTTCTCTTTTGTGTCTGAGCTCATCTGTAGGCAAAAAATGCTGTATTTCTTCTATTTTTTCTGTTTTGCTACCAACTGCAGTCTGCCTGCCCTCCTGGTAATGAAGTTGCTGGGCCCCTGTGTGGTAGAAGAGGTAAGCTAAGGCCCTTCCAGTGTGTGAGGGCACAGGGCCTGGGCCTTTAGGGAAAAAATCCTCAAAACTGATTGCTGGAGAAGCTTTAAGATACCTGATTTTTGAAGGGCTTTTACTGGAGAGCAAATTTGGGTAACAGGACCACTTCCTGCATTGGTATTACCAGTATTTATTTCATTACCTTCATCTCCAGCAGGCTCTGTGAGTTGCTTTAAATGAAGACTCGGGATGCCCTCAAGTTGTGTTTGGCTGCATGCTGTCACGTTGTCTCTGCATCTCGTTTTTGATGCGGTGCTGCAGCTGTGTGCAGTGTAGTGCAGCCTGCTTCCTTCCTAGGGAGCAGTTCTGCAGGAGGTGGTGTTCTAGGAAAGTGGTGAGGCTCAGAGATGCTCTTTTTTGTTTGCCTGTGTTAGCAGAAAGTGAGGCTGGTTCGAAGTAACACATAAATATAGAGCAAGGCCTGAGGCAGTCCTGGCTTTGTCAGGGATTTGGCTGTGTTAACTTCATTTTTTATCATTTTGGGCAGTAGTTCTGGCTGATAAACCTAAAGCTGAAACCCTCCTTAGTGCTGCTTGCTTGTATAGACCTCTTTGGCAAATGTGGATCACTCATTAAGTTAGCATTACTGCTTTTCCTTTTCATTAGAAATACCATGGAGACCTATAGAATTTCTTCATTATTTGGCTTTGGATTTTGCTAATGTTGGTACTTGCTTATGTTGGGTTTCTTTCACTGAACTTTTTTTTTTTTTTTTTTTTTTTTTTGCCTGCATAATGTTGGAAGGGATGTTTCAGGCTGGGAAGTTACCTGATTCTGTGTCTTATTAGGACTAGCACACCTGTAAACTGTTGTTAAGGCTTCAATTTAATTGGTGGTGCTGGGAGGGGGCTGGAAGAAGCTAAATGTCTGTAAAATAAGAAGTGCACTCAGATCTGTGAGATAGGCAAAAGGAGTTGTGGGAAAAGAGTTGTGGGAAAAGAGCGTGGAAACAGCAGCTGTCACTGAAGAGTATGATCCTGTCAAAGAAGGACATGGTGATCAATGGGGTTATGTCCAGCAGCGTGAGCATATCCTCATTTCTTGCAAAATTGCTCAAGAGAAGAAAATGAACATTACGTGTCTCTTACCATGCTTTAGAGTTTGCTTCCTGCTGAGGTACATTTTAGCAAGAATGGGGAACACTGCAACTTCTTGCAGCCTACTTACTGCAGTGGATCATCTTCAAAATGACCTAAGATCTATTACTTCTGAAGAAGAGAAATACATATTTCTGGATCACAGCAGTCAGCTAAAGGTTAGTGCCATTAATTGCTGTGAGTAGATACAGTTTGCTCTGTGAAACTGACAAGAATTAATTTTATTCTGGCTGCTAGCTCATGTGGAGTGCAATGCAGCTAATAAGTGATCCTGTCTTGGAGCTTCTGAAGACGGGATAGCTGGCTTTGTCTCTCACTTTGGCTGTAGATATCAGTTGTCTGGTATTCCAAGTACTTCAAATGAGTCAATTCTCAATATTCTTTTATTTCTCTGAGAGCCAGTGAGCAGTCTGGTTTAGTTGTTCTGCTTGCTTTGCATATTTGTTTTTAGGCTCTCAATCAGCATGGCTCAGTATTGTGGTGTGCTGGAATTAAAGAGAGCAGTCTGCACTAGAAACATACAGGAGGTAATGCAGTATGAATTGTTTAAGGGATGTAGGCTGTCAGGATGTTGGATATAATGAAAAGTACCCATGTTAGGGTAAGAATAAAAGAAGGTACAAAAATATTCTGATTGCTGCTACTTTGGATTGAATGCCTCTGGTAGTACAAACTGTCACTTTTACCAGCATGGTATTGTAATTGCAGAGTTATTTACAGCCTAGCACAGGCTATGCTTTGACACTGAGGTTTATTTTTGAGGACTGTCATTAGACTTCACGCTGCCTAAAGCCACTATGGTGTTCCAGCTGACATTCATTGTTACAGGAATTGCTCCTCATGCTTTGTGCATATTAATAGTTTTAAACGGGCCCTTGTCTTCCTTGCAGACTCAGTTGCGACCCTGTAAGCTGGTACGGAGTTGTGCCCAGTAGTGATACCTGGGAGGCTGTGAACTGGGGTGGCGCTCGTTAGTAATACTAATGGGGGGGGGTTAAAGCTGATGCTGCTGCCTGCAGGTGGCAGGCTGCTCCTGCTGAACAGTCACGGTTTTGCCACACTGCTTCACCATAGGGGTAGTAAAGAATCCAGTGCAGCTGGACACGCTTGGAAACTCTTCTGAAATACCCAAACAGCTTAGTTATATTTCACTGCTTTGCTTGACTTGCTGTAACCAGGAAATATGAGGCTGTATGTTTCTTTTTGCTTGCTTTAAATGGTTTACGTTTCTGTGGGAAGGAGAACATCAGTGTGCATCTGCTGGTACTGCAAAAAGACCGTTCCAAGGTTACTGCCAGATAATGAGTTATATTCTTTTCTACCAAGACAAAAAAAGCAAGGTCATTCTTCTTTTTAAGTAGTTAAATGAAGCGAGCACCTTCACTGCAGTCTATACCAGTTCCTAGTCAGTTCACGTGGTCATGGCTTTTTTCTGTTAAAATCATTCTCCTTTGAGACTCCCAAGCTGCATCAGCTGTCAAAGATTTCTGCCGAAAGAGGGCAAACGATGGAGTGCAGGGGCTGGCAAACCACCTCGAGATGGATCTGGTGAAACAGAGTTTTGTGTGCAGATCCTGTACGACTCGGGGTCCTCCAAATGTTGTGCAGAACTTCCCCAGTAAGTCAGTCAGTCCCTTGAAGGGAAGTGAGTCGTGACAGTCCTGGAATTACAACTTCATTCTAACAGCGTATGTTCTTTTTGTAGAAGTAGTGAACTTAGGCTACTGCATTGTTTGCAGTTCTCCTTTTCCCCATAAACTTTCTTGCAAACAAAAAATCAACTGTTGTTCTGTGACAGTTAAAGATGGATCCCACTCCCTTCTTCAACACTAACTGCATTAATTTCTCTTACAGTAGTTTTGCTATTCAAGTTAAAATACTGACATCAGTTGGACGTGTTTTGATTACAAGAAGAATTTTCCTTTTCTTACCTTGATGTCTGACCACTACGTATCAACTCACAGGAGATTTCTTTTTTCTTGCAGCTAATGCTGCTCTATTTTTGGCTCAAAGTAAAAATAAGTTACCTAGGGCAAAGCGTGCATATTTAAAGTTCCAGTGAGTTTCTGTGGCCAATCTGATTGTTAAACAGGTACACTTTAATAAGTCATATTTTTGTGAGGCAGTGGAACTGTTTGGTACCAAAGGGATAACGTAGTGAAAGTGTCAAAATTTCCAGTATTTTCAGCTGTTCAGTAGACATTGTTTTCAAAGCATCTTGATGAAATAATGCCACTTTCAGCAATGAGATATCTGAACAAGCTTTATGTAGAGAGTAGGGAGGAAAAAACCTCATATTCAATCCACAATACTAAGCCACAATGAATGTGGTGACATTCTAGAACTGCAGTCCTCCTGGGTCTCACCCACCTTCCATGCCTTTCCATTGTCTGTGAACCAGCAAAAGGAGGGTGCAGGGAATCCAAAGATGGAACAAGTACAGCAATGGAGACCAGAACCTTTTGACCTGTGGGTAGAAAGTGTGTCCTCTCTTTCTTGGCAATCTGAAATCTAAACGTTCAAACATTATGTTCAGCAGTCTATTCCCAGCTGGTCCAAATACTACAGAACATGAAAAGACAACAGAGCACATGTCACTGAGAGCACAATCACTGCAGAATTACTCATGATACATGAGTATAACTTAACAAAATGTGCATTTCTTTCACTGGTTTTGCCAGAAATAGTTTTCTGTGATGTACATCAGGTTGTTCTATTTGGAGACTTTAGCACTTTGACTCCCACCAGTTAAACATCCTAATGTTGAAAAAAACTCTTCCATTTCCTTCTGCAGGAGGTGATTCCTCTTCTCTGCATCTTCCCGTGCACGTTCAGAATTCCTCAGTTTTATCTCCAGCATTGTGTATTTCTTCCGTTCTTGGTCCAGTTCTTCTTCTAGCCTTACCACTTGCTTCCTCAGGTCTGCACTTGCTTCTTCAATTCTTAAAACCAAACAGGAGAGAGAGAGAGGAGAAAAAAAAAAAAGAAAAAAAAAAACTTTTAAAGTAAGAAGCATGATAAGTAGTGCTGTGATAGCTGTGATAAGTATAAGTTGTTCTACTTAGAGCTAAAATGTCTCAATTCTAAGAGGAAGTTTTAAAAGAGAGCACCAATTACCATTTTGAAGTTACTTAATATTGAGTTTAAGGGCAGGGGGTCCTTGAACGCTGGATCCCACTTCCATTTGTATCTTAAGAAAATAAATGTACTTAAGCAAGTCAAGTCTTACAAAGCAGTGCTTATGGGAGGAGATATAACTCAACACACCTGTTAGGTTGAGTTCAGATATATAACTTCTGTAACTTCCAAAAGAAACAACAACCTGTTTTTATCCTGTGTTTCCCTGTAAGGTATCCAGTACAGAAGAATACCCTTGAAGGTCAGTTAGTTAGGAATGAAGTCACACTCCTTCCTTGCCTTCCATCTTATGGTATTTTCTGTAAAGTTTGTCACTGACAGGGGGGCTGGGGAGCAGAAATTTTTCACACTGCAGAATTTTACAAAACAAACAGACAAAAAAAAAAAAATCCACATTTCATATGAGGAAGAATCTGAAGGACAGACCAGAAATAGTTCATCCGTGCACAAAGCTCTAATTCAAGACTCAGAACTTTTCTCTAAGGAGGTCAGAGACCACGGTTCATGTTTTTGGGTTTGAAATAACGTGCAGAAAGGACATCGCTTACTGTCCTTCCACTCACATTTCCTAATTGCAAGACAGAGTAGTGGTGTTCATTCAGAAGAAATACATCCAGATAGGAGTCAGACAGTGAGTTTTAAAAACAGCCTTGTCCTAGGAAAGGTGTCACTCTACTTTAAATTAAAAGCAAAAGAATGAACATTCTAATACCCAACTGTGGAAATGGGGTGCCTGGCTTCCCTTTGAAACTGGGAGTGGGATATTTTTACACAGGGTAAGTGAAACTTAAAAAGGAAGCCTCCACAGCAACATCTGAAAAAAGAACTTTCTCAGAAGAACCCCAATTGCTTCGTGGTGGTCACTAGATGTAACTTTGCAGACAATGCAATGCACTGCAGCCCTGTTTCTTCACCTACAGCCAGGAATGACATTATTATCATTGTTACCAACTTCAACAAATTACAAAGTCGCACCCATAAGCACTGATCACAAAGTGCAGCAGACCAACAGCTGCGCTTACATGTAAACAGAAATGTGCAGAATATCTAGAAAAAACTACCAGTCCTGGCCAACATTTATCGCCCAGCTGTGTTCTGCAATGCAAATGGACTCCTTGGAAGCTAAGATGCAGCCCCCCACACTTCTTGCTGCATTCCACAGATCTGTGCTACCAGTTATATTTTCCTTCTGTGAAGCTTTAGGAGTCAGCTAGAGCAGCCAAAACAAACTGCCCCTGTTCTGAATACAAAGGTTCACAGTGCTTACAGGCATTTTATATATACAGTAATAGTCCTCTTCAGGACATTTCCAGTTTCTTAAGAGGCCCAGGTGGTAAACATGAATTACTGAAACTCAACAGAGAATGCCTGATAATTATACTAACCTTGAGGGAAAAATGCTCTGGAACAGACCGGTTACAGGAAGGCCATAAAACTTGCCTCCCTCTGACTAAGAGGGAGAAAATGGGCAGTTGATAATGATAAATAACAGCTTTTCCATCAGCAAGTGTTCCTTACCTCTGCCCCAGGCAGGTACCGACTTTGCTTTCCCTCCACGTACGTGTGCCAACAAAAAGCTCATATGCCTTCATTAAAACATGCCCTACTACAAGACTGAATTTTACAAACCACACCAGCACATGTACAATTGTAAAGGAATTATTACTTTTGGGGACTGACTTGCCTTCATAACACCAGTGAGGGTAGTCCCTGATTTTCCTGCTAATCTGCCACGCTCTTTCGCTGGAGTCAGCTCCTGTCTTTCCACAGGAGCAGATTTTCACGTGCAATCAAAAGGAAATTAAAATGTTGCAGCTGCAGTAAAAACATTGCAAAATTTTTGAGAGCTGAAAAACTTGGCTTGAAACTCCCAGAATTGACAGCAAGATCCTTAGGGCTGTAATCCCAAACAGCTGGAATCATCCTGTTTAATACAAAAAGGCAGTGATTGTGTCTTGCCTACTTTACGAAAATACCACCAGTTTGTTAGGCATCTTCCCCTTAGCTACTTTGCCCTGTGAGACCTGGCTAATTTGTAGTCCTCCCCTCCAGTTACACTAACTGCTCTTTGTCCCTTTCCAGCTGAAGGGGAAAGACAAGTGTTTGTTACAACTGAAACAGCCGAGAATGCAGCAGAAATGACAAACAGGTCCTTCCTAGGTGTTTTCGTGATGATATGGAAAGCTACCACTTCCCAGAGGCAGCAGGTAAGAATGGGCAGGTACACACTTCCAAATTTTGCAGCCTGATCTCGTTTCTATTTGTTACTCAGTATCCCTGCAACAAGGCTTGTGAGGGCAGTCCTGCAGATCAGATGCAATGAACATACTCATCTCCCTACCAGCTTTGCAGAGGCTGGCAAACCACCACCACAGTAAACCATAAAATATAGCAGGAAGGTAACAAGTGATAATATCCATACCTTAACAGCAGGCCCACTGGTACAGATCACAGTTCCCACTGGGGCTTTCCAAAAGCTTTTGATAAATAACAATAAAAATGATGCAGCAGAAAAGTTAGCTGACGCTTTTGGTACCATGTGTAAAAGAGTGGCTGGATACTGAGCCATGTAAACGTTACCAGAGTTTTAATAACATAGGGAGTCTAACACTAACCAAACACAAAATAGCTGAGAAGAAACAAATTTGTGAGAAGTGTGCTTGCAGCCCTTCTCCAATGCAAAGCACCGTAACTGGTGACAATTCTTCTGTACTGTAACATGGTGTACAATTTCACATATCCCTTTATATTAAAAAGTATCTAAATTATTTCATGTGTGTATTTTACCGAGTACTTGTCTGAAAATCATTCTGTTAAACTCTAAAACTCGTAAAAACTAATACACCAACTCACACAAATGAATAAATAAGACTCTTCCTAATTGTTAGGAGTACTTTCTACTTCTTATAGCCCCTGCCTTCACACACACCTCTCCTGAAAACATGAAAAACATCAGGGCTAAGAACCACCAAGTTCAGCCCTGCTGCCCAAGCAGCACCTTGCTGCTGCTTTGAGTCAGTACCACGCTGTGTGAGCAGAGAACTGCTCTGAGAGCATCTGGAAACGGTGCTTTGATTTTTGAGGTTCAACACAAAACGGTTACTGAAAAAGTTATAACTGAGATGCAATCTCAACAACAATAAAACCAGCAAAGAACAGTCACAACCATTTTTCTAATGAAATTTTCCCTTGGGAAAAGCGGCATAAAACCTTCAATTTCAGACTGATTTGACACAGTTCTCAGCACCTGCACAGACCACCCTAGGTTCCATTCCCTCCCCACAAGACAGATGCTTGCCTCGCTGTTTCTAGCAGAACACTGACAAAGAGAAGACTCTGGTAATAACCTGTGTTGTTCCAATTTCCATTGAAAATCAACTGAGCAATACTGGAATTTCCTGTGTAATGGAAATCCCATTTTTTATCTTCTCTTCTGTCAAATCATAGAATCATAGAATCGTAGAATCACAGGGTTGGAAACAACCTACAAAATCATCCAGTCCAACCGTCTCCTCATTACCATTGCCACCACAAGCACTAAACCATATCATGCAGCACGTCATCCAGATGCCTCTTGAACACTGCCAGGGACGGCGACTCCACCACCTCCCTGGGCAGCCATTCCAGTGCCTGACCACTCTCTGAGAGAAATAGTTCTTCCTTATGTCTAATCTAAACCTCCACTGGTACAACTTGCGGCCATTACCCCGTGTCCTGCTCGTTGCCTGAGAGAAGAGGACAAATCCCTCTTCATCACAGCCTCCCTTCAGGAGGTTGTAGAGTGCAATGAGGTCTCCCCTGAGCCTCCTCTTCTCCAGACTGAACGATCCCAGCTCAAAGAGAAAAGCTGGACTCACAGAGCACTGAGGAAAGACCAGATCCAAATTTACAATCTTCCCAAACTACAGGTCCCAGAACCAGATTAGTTTGGTAGCCCCCACCCATGTTCAAACAGAGGTGATGATCACAGAAGACTTCTTTTTCTCCACCATGCATGTGACATTACCTTTTGATACTGGTCTCGTACTCAGTCCTCTGTTTGCTCAGTTCTGTCTTTAGCTCTACCACCAAGCTCTGTAAGGCCCTAGAGCATCTGACAGAGTCTCTGGAAGCTGGAGCTAGGTTGCTCTGCTCACTGCTGCTGCTGCAGGCTTCTAACCTGTCGATGCTGTTCTCCAGATCTGCAGTCTTGACCTCACTCTGAGACAGTGAGCCCTGAGTCATCCACTCGGTTTGGAGAGAGCTTAAAACCGAGGAGTCACTGGCCCGACAGGCTGGGCAGCTGCTGACCGAGTCCACCACGGAGATCTCACACGATGACGTAGACCACGTGGTGCTGCCCATACTGTGTGTGCTGAGGGAGAGGCTGGACGAAGGGACATTGTCATAAGTAGAAAGTCTCTGAGAAGAACAAGAGTCTTTAACTCGTTCCCCAGAGGCTGTCCGGCGGTGGCCTCGGAGAGAGTACAGTCCATTCATCAGCCAGTTTCCACTGGAGGAGAGGTTGGGGATATCTAGGGATGAGCTGCCCAGCTTTGGGCTCACAGACCGTGATCCCTGCTGGCGGAAGGAGTATTTCCACGGAGGCAGCGTCTGCACTCTTTTGCTGGGGCTGGTGGCAGGCTGAGCCAACTTGCTGCTGTGCTCTGGAGGGGCGTTTTTCAGTACAGGTCCAGGCGTGGTCTCCAGTGCCACAGCATTGTCAGAAGGCAGATCAGCAGGGCTGGGAAAATTGCTTTCTGACCTGCTGTCCTCTCCATCCTCCTCAGAGATCCACTCCACAGTGTTGCGTGGACGCACGGGTCTGATTTCCAGTTGGCTCCCTGGCACATCTGCCTGAGGGACAGCAAAGATTCTCCCCTGTTCACTTATCAGCACCGTCATCAGGTGCTGAACCAGTGAGGTGCCTGTGGGAGAAAACAAAGGCAAGGATTCCATGAGACCATGGAAGGCCTGATGTTCCCTGTCTGTGAGGTGCCCTGTGAGCTTCCTGTGGGGCAGGTGTGCGGGCACCATGCCCTGCAGCAGGACAGTACAAACCTCTGGGCCTTTCTATACAGGACTGCAAGAGGTAGGAATTGCTCCCACTGCTGGAGATGAAGAATAGGAATGACACAGGCATGTCTGCCTGCTTAATGCAGCTGACTAGCATAGCACAAATGGTCAGTAGTAACTATTAATAAATTAGCCTGCTTAAGGACTTTTGAGGATGACAGAGGAGGAAGATACCTGAAAAACAGGGCATTTCTGTACCACACTGGCATGGGGCTCAGAGCCAGCATCAATTTCACTTTAGCAAGCGCAGCTCTACAGGACAGCACAGCTCTGTACAGAGATGCATGCTGGATTCTCAGTACACCAATGTGTCAGCTAGCATGGAGCATCTTTCCGTCCAGCTTCCAAAACTAGCAGGCTTCCATTGACTTGAGTATCTGCATTATGCCAAAATTCAGTCTTAGCAGGCCCAGGGCTAGTGTTTACAAAAGCACCAGAAGTTTCAGCCTAGGCCTTCTGCTGAACTCTATAGAGAAACTTGCCAAGAGTATGACATCTGTATGACAGATGCGGCTGCGCACAGGGGGAAAGAGATACTTCTTGTACCATCAGTCTATTTGTAGAATACTCTTTGCTTACAATTCTAGTTAAATGTTCAGCATTTTGAAATGAAACAGCACTCATTAGGAAACATGTTGAAATACAGTCCATGGTGGAAATGAGATTTCAAATATATGCTGGAGAGTCCCAGATACAAAGTGAAAGCAACAAGAACTTCTGACTGACAGGTGTTTCCAATCATTAAGAAGGACCCAAAGGAAAACATTAAATTTTAAGGTAGAACACAGCATAGATCACAGCCTAAAGCAACCTGTGCATGTTCTTTACAATAGGAGAGCAAAACAAAAAAACAGGTGCCACAGGAACATAGATACCAGTACATGTTATAAAATGAAATATAAGTTGCCATAAGGGCTACTCTACTGGAACAAAGTTTCCCCCAAAGAATCACAAATACAGCTGTAGACAGCAGCTAGCAGATTCACAAGGTGACCAACTTGATTAAAAGAGAGCTTCTCACAACATTTAAACAAAGTAGAAAGTATACAGCGAGTGCAGGCAGTGTACTGACAACTATGTAAGTCCACAGAATGAGTTGTTACTGCTTTTCAGTAGGGTTCAGTAGACCATTAGAGACCAAAAGAATACCTCTTATCAAACCTAATACAAAGTATTTTCTACAAAAGAGAAAAGCCTTAAAAAGAGCAAATATGTAATTAATGCTAGGTTTACTTATCATCTGAAATAGAGAATAAGACTAATACCCAGGATTCTATGATAAGGACTTGAATATAATCATGAGTCTTGGCCTGATAGCAAGAAGTACAACTAACCTCACCTATAACTCGTATTTAACTTCTGTGAGGAGTTCAGCTGTCCCCACCTTTAGTCTGCTAATAACCCAGCATCTGTTTCTGCACTTGCTGACTCACATGGAGATGGATAATTTTCAGATTTTTATACATGCTTCAGGAGAAAGAAGCATTCATGCCTGCAAGCAAGACCTAAGTGCACTGAGGCCCATCGTTAGTTATTCTGTTTCACCTTTTCTCATCTCACTTGTGGCATTTTAACTTATTTCCTAAAGCAAAGACCCATTCACAAGGAGTACAGAAGTAACTACTGAGTGTAAGAGCTTTTTTCAGTCACAGATCTATTTTTTTTATTCTTTCAAAATTTTTTAAAACACTCCATGCCTTTCCATCATTAGGCTTCCTCCTTCTCTGGAGTTCTTCTCTTTTCCTGCAGTCCAGCAACAAACAGGATACAATGAGCAAGCAAATACAGTAAAAGTAGAATAGAGTAGAATAGTCTGGTTTTCTACTTTATCCCAACCCTTGCAGATAAAAGTTGTCATCTCAAAAGAACACACTTAACAGCAAATGTACCCAAAGCAGCTCCATAATTAGTTAGGGCCTAGTAACATTACTTCTACTAGAGGTTTGGGTTGTTTTGGTTTGTTTTTTTTTTTCAACTCAGGAAATATATTTTGCATAGCAAACATCTGATATATGGCTGGAGTAATTTTTTTTTAAACGTACAAACATCCAAAATTAACAGTGATCTTTGACTTGTTACTCAATTCTGTGAAGTACTGACCCACACACAGTCTGCTTCCAAGACAACATGTCTAAGACACATAAGTATAACCTCTGTAGCACAGTAAGAACTGCAGTTCCTCTTTCATTGTAGTTTGAATGCCCTTTGCAGGAAGTTGCCTAAATACACCCAAATGCAGTAATGCTAAACAGCAGTAGTTTGATACTTGAACATGGAACTGAAGAACTTTTGACCTTTCATTTTAACAGTAAGTGTGAGAAACTTTCTCAACAGCTGAAAGAGCATAGAAGGGCAGAGGCATCTCCATGTTGTAGAAAAGAGACATTCCCAGACCAGTGGCAAGTGGGATAGCAGTGGCCAGACTGGTACATCCACTCAGAGGCACTGATGAAATGGATTGTCTGACTTGTTGCTGACTGTGCATTCAGTGATACAACGTGCAGTACTTCTCATCATCTTCCTGCAGCTCCAAAATACAAATGCTGTGTTATCTCACAAGAGGAGTACCTACCTTCCATCATGGTCACTGGATCTTCCATTTTGGGTCGTAATATATTTGGTCCAAACACTGTAGCTAGGTTCTGAACACTCATCTTGTTAACGCTGGAGTGAGCCTGAACTTCATCAAGGAACCTTGAAAAGCCCCCCCAGAAAAATCATAGAAGGAGAGAAATAAGTCAGTCACTTCTCAGACTGTAGGCATGCTGAGCAGAAAGTTTTGCCCTGTGTTTATATAGCCTGGGATCCAAAATGCTCCTACAGACTAAATGCAGTTTAGATATTCAAACTCAATCCCAGATCCCTTGTATGAACAAGAGAAGACAGAATATCTTCTGCCAAAGGTACTTCTGACTATGCAAATACAGATTTTCTGGGAAATTTCTATTTACATGGAGTGGTTTCTGCCAGTTTTCACTTACAGATAGAGGTAAAAAAAAAAAAAAAAAAAAAAAAAAAGACATTTCACTGATCCTCACATCCTAGAACTAAGCAGCCTGTGGGAAGAGCTTTATTTCTTGAATCTGACAAAACACAGATAAAGAGCTTCTTGCGAATGCATCAACTGGGCAGACATCAACACACGGAAAAGACTTTATGTGAGCCAAAGATAGCACATGAAGAAATGCAGACAGACTGGCTATCTGTATGCATATGCTGGAAATCAACAGAATGTTTCTAAAAGTTATACATTTTGCAATTTGGAATAGCCTCAGTAGGAGCTATAGCAGGTTGTAAGAAACACTGAAATAGCTTGTAATTGGTCTCGTTACAAAAAGGACAATAAGACATGAATACCCAGAGGAGCAGGAAACAGGTCTCAGAGACCTCAGAGTTGAACAGTCTCACTCTGCCTGTAATCTGTTTTTAATGAACTGCTGTTCATTCTGGGGTGATCTGAGCAGTTTGAGCAGTCAAAACATTTCCTCCTCTCCCTGTACTACTCAGTTGGCAAACTTCTGAAAGCTTCTACTTGCAGCCTGACTTTCATAGGCACTCCTATTGTTTAAGAGGCTTTCAGTGTGCTGAGACCCAAGAACTGTTTTCTTCCCTTAGTCAGAACTAAAATCGACTTTAGTTTCTTCAATTCTTCACTTAGAAACATGTGTGATTATATTCTCTCCCATATTCTCCCTTTATGTTTTGCAATACTCAGACACCAAACTATAGAAATACACAGTGAGGCACAATACATTTTCCAAAGCATTCAAAAGTACATTTCAAAAATGCTGTCCATCTGTACCCTTGGGAAGGATTGTCATCTCCTGAGTAAGGCATGGGCTTCATGTCAGTCAGCATTTGTGTCTACTGCCTGTTGCAGAAGCAAAGGACTTTACCACAGAGATCACAATAGGACAAAGTGAATTACACTGTATTAAGGCAAACATTCTGTTCCAGCTCCCAGACGATTCCTTCCCACATGGAACAATCAGCAGAGAGACAACAGGAGAAAAGGCCACAGAATCCCTGGCACTCCAAGCCATTCCCAACACCACTTCCAAATTACAGCTGAGGCCAGACTGGCCTCTATCATAACTCTATCTGCTACTCAGCTTGAGTTACAAATCCTCCTGCTGTGCAATGCCTGGAACTACTACCTTTCTTTATTGGTCTTTAAGTGCTTCTGAAACAAACAGTACAACCTAGCAGCATCATTGATGCTTGCTGTCAAGACTGTGGATGACAGCAATTTGCTTGGCTGCACATCCACCTACACATACTTTACAGGATCAGCATGTTATGTGTAAGTGGTGACTGAACATTCAAACTTTCAGAGTGAATTATTTGTGTATAAGATTGAATCTCACAAAATGTAGCGACTTTTCCAAATGTTAATTAATTTCACTTACTTGCATATGTACTTCAGGAGATTGTAGTTGGCTTGGGGCAAATTCTTTACCTGTTTAACCAGTTCCTGAGTACCCTGAGGGACAAGAAAAACAAGAAAGGAGGACTATTAATATAAATGATGCAAAGCAGACATGACTCTCAGTGCTATAAAATACTCTTTTCTGAGTCAAACCTGTGAATCAACAAATGATAGCACAAGGAAGTTTTGTAGACAGTATCATCCTTCATTGTTCCTTGCCTCTCAGGTAGAAGGCAAACACTAGTCCCAGTAAGAGAGATCCACTACACACCATACATTGACACGAGATAGAGTGAGAAAACAGCTCTCTATGGGAGTGCTGATGGCCCAGCAAGCAGAGGTGCCTACCCAGAGGAGCATCATTACTGGGATCTTTCCCCAGACAAACAAAAACAAACAAACAAAAAACCAACCAACCAAACAAACAAAAAACATTTTTTCCTTTAAAATTCTAAAAGACAGAGAAAGAAAACAAACCAAAAAATAGCTGGGCTGTCCATCTACAACAAAAGGAAAACCAGAAAACCACCCCCTCTGCAAACCACCAAGTCAGCATGCTTATTCCCCAAACACCAAGAAAAGCTTTTGTCCAAGAGAAAATGGCTGCAGAATTCCTGAAGTCAAATCACGGACTGAAATACTGAAACCCCCCACATCCAGAACTTGATTTAGTGTTCTAAATCGATGCAAATCCTTTTGTAAGCTTAATGGCTAAATGTATAAACCTTTATCTAGGGAAGCCTGCTGGTCTTCAGTCTGCTCATGGGTATACCAGTATAAGTGGACCAGCAAATATGGCTTTCCAGCACCCTGCCTATTCAAAACTTCAGAGGCTCTGAGCGTACCATAAACAGGGTGCAGCAATGCCAAACTGAGCAGAGGAGAGTTTTTCTTTAAGAAGCTGACAACATTCCAGTTCAGATACCTCCTTTTTAATTACTTCCATTTGCAGTCATTCTGAGCTGTGACATACTTCCTCATAAACCTTCTGTCTTTACATTAATATGCGAGATGAGAGATCTGCCTGACAAATGACTTAAAACCCTGAAGCTACTTAAATCATCTTACGAAAATCTCTGACTCAGAAGGCTATTGTCCTGCTGCAGTCCCACCATCATTTACTCGTTCCTTTCAATGCTGCAGTTACTCTGAAGGTTTGCTCATTTTTGGGGACTACCATCCCTGTGTGAAGACAGATATCCAAACACATCTGTGAAGAGTGATAGCTGTTAACTAACGAGGGAGGACTGCTAGAGAAGTTTCAGAATTGCTGGTTCCAAGGCAGATAACTGCATTTGGACATTCATTTCCAGCTTTCCTCCATTTTGTAATGAATGTCAGGGAAGGGATTCTGTTGGGCAGCCTCCTGCAAGATCTTCACGAGTCCTCTGTTCCAGATGGGTCTGAAAGATCCAGAAAGCAGTCTGTATTCCTGCCTCCATCCTTAATGTCCTGAAAGCAAACAATTTTTTCCTCTGAATTTGCCAGTAAACAAAAAGAGTTGAACTAATAAAAAACCGAACTTTAAAAAAAGCAGTAAGTCTTTTTTAATTCCTCCAGGTAAAAATCACACCTGTTAACAGTGACAACAATGGAGACTCCAATAAAAGAGCAGTCTCTTGAAAACCTCAAACATCTTTCTTGAACTTCTGAAGACATTTGAATCAAGGAAAGCTGCTATTGATGTGAAGGTTAAAGTCAGTTTTCCAGGTCATCCGGCTTTCAAGTGAGGTGTTTGAACTAGATACAGTTGAGCTAACAAACCTCTCGAGTTTTGCTCTGTAACCCAATTTATTTCAAATACAGAAATCAGAATGACATTTGGCACTGTGTTTCAAGTGCTCTGAATTAAAATGTCACAGCTTCACTGGATGCAAGAGAGGGCTTTGTAACATGCAGGCAGCTGGAAGTATGATCTAAAGGTACAAGCCCTATGAAAGAAAAAAAGGCCGTAGATATTTATCATCCATGCTCTGTCACAAGGAATCACAAATGTGGGATTACAATGAGAGCATCTTTTAGATTCATTCTGGTACAAACAATTCTCAGGTTTGAAAAGAAAAAAAAAAAAAAAAAGAAAGCTTCCATTTTTGTGCCCATCAACCTGACCAGCAAATGCCAGGAAGCCGAGTTGGTGAAACCACAATAAAGCAATAAGGAAAATGTGAGCTGGAAACTGCTGCAGTGTTACCAGCTAACACAGTACAGGTCGTGGTGTATGGATGCAGCCAAGCAAGCAGTAGAGGCACTGTGCTGCCATTCACCATGATGGTACTCTGCAGTACAACTCTTAACTCCTTAAAGAATGCTGCCTTATTTACCACAGATACGTGCTTTTCCAAGGAGGGGTCCTATAACCAAAAATTTTGCAATGTGTGTAAGAGATCAGTGCTAATAGGGCTAGTTCTGGTCTAGACGGGCTAGAAAACTGGCAGCACTTCAAATGTTCACCCAAATTCAGTTCCTTCTAAAATCCCAAAGCCAGTGGCTTAGTTTACCAAATTACTGAGGGCATCTCTAGAGTTCAGTCATCAGGGAAGCTAAAACACTGCCACATCAGCTCAGACTCAGATGAGTTTCTTAAGATTTGAAGATCTTTCATTCATTATCTCCTCCTCACAACCAACTGGGATCAGAATCCAATCTTTAATGCTGCAGTGCCGCTGAGATACCTGGAGGCCTCAGCACAGCTCAAAGGCTTAATTAAGTTTCTGTTTGCATTCCAGCACCACAGTTTAGTTGGGTGATGAATGAACATGAACAGCAACGAATGAAAAATGGATGCCTGGGACAATGCTGGGGTATTATTTCTGATACAAACGGAGATTAGGCCAAGCTAAGGTCATGATAGTTCCTATCTATGTTCACAGTGTAGCAGTATGAAGTGCCAACTCTTTTATCCAAATTGCTATTTTGCTTTAAGTAATTCTGGTTTTATTTGGGGAGGTTACAACTAAAGAAAATCATAATTGAGTCTAAATGTTTCATTCAAAACTTCCGTATGCAAAATTAGAACAAAACATTTCTTCAAACAATGGTTTGAATTTTGTTTCAAGGTGTATATATATATATATATATATATATTTTAATTATTATTATTTTCAAAATGAAACATTTGACTTTGAAATTCTCTGAATTTCAATGAAACCCAATTTTTCGGCAGGGGGACTTTCCATGTGGGAGGCAAGGCAAGCCCTACGGGCGGGTATGACTGTGCTCCTTCTGCTCCACGTGCTGCTGTGCACGTACAGCCCCTCCGCCCTCGGTGCGTGCACTCCACCTTCCAAAGAAAAAAAAAAAAAAGTAAACAGCCCTTGTTGAGGTTCCAGATTTTCCTGACCAAAGGAATGGTTGTTTACTGCTGCAATTTTAATGAGACAACATTGTGCTATCAGCAGTACTGTATTTTCTAAGCTTGCATTTCAGCTATCTGGTCCTCCTCATCTCCTTTCTAATCCAAAGAGAACAATGCTTTCACTACAACTCATTTCAGCCTGGCCTTGCTCCCACAAAACTAACACAGATGCTGCTTCCCAAACTGCTGCAACCTGTGTAGGCAAAATCAGGCAAAATACAAAACTACATCATTAATAAGCTGAGCAATGCTATACAATTATGTCTGCCCAACTTGGCACTGCCTCTACTCTTGTGCAATAGTGCTTAATGGATTCAAAACTTTCCAGTGTGCACTCTGTATGACCAAAATGAAACCAGCTCCACTGCCTTAGGAATGCTGCTGTTTCTCACGAGATCAGCCTTTCTCCTGTCTGTTACATAGCACCCTGCAGCAATGACTGTATTGGCCGTTAATATACAAGCAAGTTTTGGAGCCAGTAGACACATACATGTACCATTTAAGAGACAACACTAGTGCACTGACACACTGATGCAGCTGCGTCCAGGACACAAATGCATATCAGAGTGCAGTGTTATACTGCGTCTTGCACAGACATCAGAGATAATTGCTTCCTCAGAGCTGGCTAGAGAATGGACTGTGTGTGTACAGACAGTACCAAATGCCTTCTGTCCTTAAAACCCCCCATATATATTATCAGATATGCTGCATTTGATGCATGCAAACAAGCATCTTCTTATGGGCATCATCAAGGACTCAATCTTCCCAAAGCCACTTCAACTAAAGGTGAACCAGGAGGCTCTCAGCAAAGAACAGCTGTTACAGTCCCCACTAGAGACAGAGATGTAAGAATACCCCTGAGGCCACACGCAGAAAAGGACAGAAATGTGGCTGTGACTTACAAGCCCTCGGGTCTTCACTTCTTTAGCTGACGTAAGTAATATAAGGCTTACAACTCTAAACCTCACTTTAGAAGGCAGCACAGTTCCATCCACATTAGACCAGATTCAACGTGCCCTTGCAGTCAGCAAAGAGCTCAGACATCACACACACATTGTTCTATCCAATATGGATAGAACAGATCAATCAATCATATTGTAAATTTTCTTTGCAAGAACTGAATCAAAATTTCCACGATTGCCACAGACTTGAGGTTTCTCTGAGGAAACCAAATGGAAGAACTGAAGGTTCTGGAAAAGTATTCATAGCTTTACTTCTCCCATTTTAGGATAGTGTTGTACTGTGTTCTTTTATAGTGTCTATCTTCTAAGAAATACAAAGACCATCACATCAGTCAACATCTCATTCAACAACTCTGGAAGGCGAAATATGCTGTCCCCATATATAACATTGAAAACACAGTAAAGGAGAGTAACTTCATAAAACTTGCTAATGAGTCAACAGCAAAGCTGGAAAAGGAACCCAGATCTCACACCTCGCACCTCTTTCTGATTATGCTATAGAACACCACTGTTAGTTGAGAGAAGCACTAGGCTACATGACTGACTTCAAAATAGCTTCTGCTTCAAGCGGGAGCCTGTGATACTTATGCCAGTTCATAGCTTCAGGAAAATTCAGGGGGAGGTTTCCAGGAACTCCACTGATTTTAAATTAGGACTGAAGAGTGATGAGAAGGAAGCTGTATTGTACTGGGTCTTGAAAACAACCCTCAGGGTAAAAGGAGGCAGATTAGAATGACCACTGACCTCTCCCTCATCTTTTGAGAGTAGCTGTCCACAAGAAAGAAAGTCTTCATATTTGGCAAAGGGGATGACAGGCTCTGGCAGCTCTCGGAGGTAAAGCTTCAGGAGGGACGCCACAGTGTGAACATCTGTGTTGCTGCAATACAGAAGAAGGAAGGAAATTTAGACACCCACACTACCTTAAAGCCTGATGCCTTCAGGCAGGGTGGATCAAAGTCCCTCTGAGGGACAAGGTAGGTACACAAAGTGGAATCATTCTGCTACACGACTGTATGAAACATTACGGTCTACCTGGGGACAAGGAAAATCTCCCCTCTGTGAAAATAAGAATGCATCTCAAACAACGTGAGCAGTGAAGGGATGCTCCTGCTCAAGATAGGGTGGTGCTGTGGTTCCTCAATCAGTGCAGTCAGGACGGTGTGCAATGCAGAACACAGTGATCACACAGTTCTGACAACAAATCTCTGCACCCTCATGCAATCAAACAATCTCTGATCCTCTAACTGATACTCTACCACTGCAGGGGCTTCTTTTCCCTCTTTTCTATCCTTTACTTTCAATTAGGGCCTGAGGTATCAAATGCCATAATGAAGATGCACCTGCTCTTCCCTTTACATGACCTATCCCATTTCTGGTTTTTGACAGTGCCTCGTTCCAAGTTTCCTACTGTACAGCTCTGTTTATCTTTGCAAATGCTAGAAATCTCAACAGTTTGTGTCACCAGCTCTCCACTTCCCACCACAGCCATGACAGTCTTTAGAGAATTCTGAGAAAAACACATCAGTAAACAACGCAGCCTCAAATTCTCACTTCTTTAAAAGCTGTATCTCTTCTCTTTAGGATGTTTTTAAACAGTGTTTTGAAGTGTAATGAGCTCTACCAAATATTTTGCAGCTGCAGCAGACCAGTGCAAGGACAAAATACATAAGGACTTGTACTTCTATTTTTATTCTGTTCTGATAAGAGCATTGGATTCAATTCTCTTAAGGAACATCCATCCCTGTTATTTTACTGAAGCTTGACAGTAATTTCCAAACTGTTGCGAAAGGAGAAAAATACACAGGCATGCATACTGACTGATACTAGAAACATAACTGTAAAACTTCTGAATTTTTTTTTTTGAAAATTGGAAAAATTACCAGAACGAGCTGCCAGTAGTTTAATAAGTACCAACATTTGACCACTTGCTACTAATTTTGCTATTTCTATTCAATAACTCTATCAAAGCTGAGAATATCAGAGTTTTCTTCAGTTGATTACAAATACTTTGCAAATGATGTCAATAATCTCAATTCTTTTTGTATGAGGTTTCAGGCATGAATGATGGATATGATTATCACTCAGCAGCAGAGCCCACACATTACAAGGGACTTCAGGTCCCCTGGTTGGATTTTATTGTTACACCAGCATGGCCAGATGAAATCCAGCCAAAATGTCAGTGACACAGACATGTGATAGGAGCAGACTGCTGTAGGTGCTTCCAACTGCAACACCTGGCTTTTCATTAAATACGTACATATGCATTTAAAACTCAGACTGAAAACCCAAGCTTTTTAAAAGTAAATATTTTAATTATCAATCATTAGAGATCGGGCAGGTAGGCTTTAACTTTTGGAAGATCAAGCAATGTTGAGTTTATTGCAGAATCAAACTGCACTGTCTGGAACCAAAAAGAAGGATAAAAAAAAAAAAGTATTCCTTCACTGCACCTGATTTGGGAACTAAGATATGGATATCACATTTGCAGAAAATATTTGTTGCTGCTTAGTTATTCTAGGCCGTATACGGACAGTTACAGAGAGAGAATTACGCTTACTAGGAGAAGTGTTTCACTCAGCCATGAAGGAATTGTTTCTCCTTTTCTGTGAGTGCTGATACAAAAGATCAGAGAGCAGGGCCTGCAAGCTGCAGCAGTCACAGTGACTGCAAGGGGAAGGTAGGGCAGAAAGCCAACAGCTGAGGAACCCTCAATGGTCACACTGCTCAGATGCTACCAGGCTTGCCTCCTCCAATTCTATGCTGAAAATTGAGTTGTTCCATTTCAGATCAACCCAAATGACAGGCATCCCTTCATGGAGATCTTCATTGCCTCTGTTAAAGGTGACACTTCTCACTGATCTATTTTACTATTGCAAATGCCTATGGAAATAAAGGTGCCTTCTGCTTTCAGTATGATGGGAGGAGGCTTTTCTTGTCTTTCGGCAATTAAGTTAGAATAGATTAGAAGAAGGTAAGACACGAAAGTGAGACTGTTGGTCCTAATTAATTCCATCTGTAGATACTCCTATTCCCAGATTAGTGTTTTCCAAAACAACTCTGCTCACTTCACTTCCACATGAATTCAGACAGTTCTAACTCTGAACCAGAGCATCCGGACGTTTAGTTAAAAAACAAAAGATTTTAAGAAAAGATGAAGTGAGACAGTTTGAGGGTTTCAACTTTTTTTTTCATGAAAATATCTCAACACTTCCATTTAGGGAGAAAATACAGACTGTGGTTAAGAATCAAAGAAAGAAGGATTGGTGGCCTGGGAAGCAGAGGGGAGAGAAGAATTGGAAGAATGTTCACAATAAACTCAAAGGATATTCTTCCCAGGATGAGTGCAAACCCAATGCTATCTTGCAGGAGAGCAGTACTACGTCCTGCAGCAGTAGTTTGGTACAGCATTGGCAATGTCAAGATTGGCTGCCAATCCACAAGGAAGTGATTCCCTGAGTTAATATGCTGACATACCAGAAACTGCCAGTGCCACCAGGGAAATCTGTCCTAGGGAGTTTTGGCAAGAAATGGACCCTGGTCTCCAAGTGAAGATCTCCGATCTGATCCCACTCCTGGACATGTCATAGATCTGTGCAATGTTTAAATCTATGCAACGCCTTTGGATCCAAGCATTACTAAAGTTTCAGTACTCTTCCAGAGTCAAGGCAAAATTCTCAAAGGGCTCTTTAGGTCAAGACAATGCTAACCATCATTCTGGGTAGCATGTGTGCACATGAGAGAGGGAAAGAAACGGCAGTTACAGAGGATGGACAGAATATGGCTGCAAGGGCCTGAGAGCATCCACCATCCTGATTATTTGACTGGGCTCACAGCCAAGGTAGAGATAGTGCAGCTGAGAGATGTCCTATTCCCTGGCTGAACTTAGAGCTCTTCCTGTGGCAGCCAACAGCCCCTCAGCCATGACTGACTGGCCACGCACCCTGTTATCCGGACCAAGACACTGACTTAAGGATGAAATTCAAAGTCTCATAGGGTGGCTTTGGGTTAAAAGGGACTTCATGGATCATCAAGCTCTAATTCCCAGCCTGACCTTGGACATCATCACTATCACTATAGACTTGCCTGCTGATCATGAGACTGTGCCTGAGCTTCAGTGCTCTCTCTGCATCTGCCTTGAGTACCTGGCTCAGGTATGATGGGAGTGGGCTCTGGGTGCTTGTTAATGCTCTTGCTCCTGAGTCACCTTCCCTTGCAGAATAACTGGCTCTCACTGGTCCCTGACACTGGCATAGATAGTAAGACCAAAAGGTAGCTACTTTTTTTCTGTACCACACAGGGAGTGATTGCATCAACATATTTACAGAGGGAATTAAAATGGGAAATGGTTATTTTTCTTTTGGAAACATCTGACTTAAGTTTTACAGAAAAATCAAAACAGAACACAGGTGTCCCTACGATATATTCAACTTTGAAATAAATGTTCCTCCTCAGATGCTGAAATTCTCGACCAAAAAGGAATTCCTTTTGGCCTAGAATTCTGTGGTCAGAAAATACTTGGCTATGACATGCTGATCAACTCCATACACATGAAACAGCCAGGGAAAGATGTGCAAAATCTTGGTGACTATTCTGAAACCTGGTGACAACGAATGGGTAAGAATTGAGATTTTTCCCCTGGGCAGATTCACTACGGAGCAAGAGATAAATGCAACATCTAAAAGAAGTAAGACACTACTGTCCTGTGTATTTTTATGGTGAGATCCCACCAACTGCTGAGTAGGCTGTACCCACACCTAGCATTGGCTTTCAAGATGTGCTTATACTCAGCTCAATTTCTCTCCCTGCTCAAGCACTGAACCAAATGTAGGCCTCAACACTCAAAACCATGCAGGAGAAAGGCCCAGCTACTCTCTGAATGAAGAGAACGTGTAATTAAGATAGCCACCATCAGGCTGCTCCTGCCAGACTTCACATGCCACAAGTAAAACAATCTGAATTTCTGATGTCAACTCACCTGTCAAAGAGCGGCTTCTCTCCACAGTCAAAAGAATCCTGCAAATCTTTGACAAGGTTGGCTTGCCCAGGCATCCGAAAGAGTCCCTCCTCTGTAAGTCCTCGCTCCCGAATAAAATCCACACACTGTTCCACCAGCAGTGGGGCTAACCGCTGGCCATACTTCCTCTCGTACTGCACAGTGTCCTCCAATCGCTGTCCAAAGATCCCTGCCAAAAGAGAGACATTCGGGTGTTAGCTGCAACTCTTCACGAGCTATTGCTCAGGGTGAATAATGAGGGAAATTATTTTGTAGGGACTGGATGCACTAAGGTCCAGTTTTTAAACAGACTCTGAAGAATAAAAGGGTTTTAAAAAACAAGTACAATTACATGCCAAGCGTGATTGTTTTTTTTCTGCTTAAGAGTCCTTTAAACTACCCTTTGCCCTAAGATGGTATATACCTCTATATACACAAGGAAAGTAGAGCTGAGATTATGCTTATAGTTATCTATAGCTGTACTGAACCTGAGTTAATTTCCATTGCATCTTCAGTCTTAAGAATGCCAAAACAGAGGCATGGGCCACAATGCTTTTTTACATGTACGCACCACTCACACAGTTATTGCTTAGTAGTTTGCAGCTGCCCAGCCTAACAGGTAGCACACCCCTGCAAGAAGATTGCCAGCATGTTGGAATGTAGTTGTCCACATCAAAAGTGGCTTATGTGAGTGAAACTGCTCTCACTCTCCACCTCCACCCAGCTCTGGGTTTCTATTTATTTTCCTTTAATTAAAATTAACAAGTGAAAATTAGAAAAATGAAACACAGGTATGCACAAAATCATCGCTTTTCCTACTAAAACATCTTACTTCCTGCACTTTGGAAGTATAAGAAGCATCAGATACTCTAAAAGCAGGTTGGCCATAGGTAGTTATTGGATCAGATCTACTGCAGACTTGTACCAGCAAGTATGAAAGCACTGGCTCACTGATGAAACTGGAGTTCCTGGACAATGCCAGCTGCCGAATGCCACTACTGGGGTCACATCTTTTTGACAACGCAGAAGAGACTCAGGCTGTGAGATCCAGAAGTTCAATCCCTGACACTAGGAAATAACTCCATCTAAAAGGACAGCCTGTGAGCCATGCTCTGAAATCCCACTTCTAGCACCCTACAAGGTATGGAGGAGTCAAGGAAGACAGCAAACAAATTAATCTCATTCTGGAGATTAGGTATTTAGAAAGTGTGAGAATTCCAAGATTTACCCAGTTTCAGACAGGAAATTCTACTCAAACATTGCTCAAAGCAACCGGTAAATTTACACTGATATCAACAAGGAGCTTTAGATCATGCACGTAGCACTCAGTCATACATATCTGAAAAAAAAAACCATCAGAATCCAACACTAAAGTTACTCTGTCCACAAACAGCAGCCAAGTAGTGTTTAGTGATGAATGCATGTGAATATATCACATTTCTTTTGGTCATTTTGGTCATTTTTAGGACTCTCCTTTCCTTCCTACTAAAGAACTTATTTCCCATTTTTATTTTAGTGCTATACTCATGGCAGGCTGATAACTCACAGCAGAAGTTTCCTTGCCACCATTCACTATCCTCCAAGGGACATCTGATATCAAATTGTACCTTCATTCTGAATTCAGTCCAACCCTGCTGAATCCTTGGTGAAATAAAATCTAGCACAGTGACAGAAAAAATCTAGACATCAGTGTTAACTCCCTGAATGAAACACACAAAAAGGATCCTGAAGTCCATTTTCCATTCCCCAAGAAACTGTTACATGTCAGAATACAGAAACTTTTCTTACACTCCAGCCTGCACAACTGCACTGCATAATCAGAGATGGAGGGCCATGAAGAATCTTGAAGGAAATTCCCTCCTTATCCTGGCAGGAGAGCATGTCCTGAAGCATGGGAGAGACTTATGTTTGTCACTGCAAATATTGTTCCTCTTTCAAAGTAAAGGTTTTACTGGTTCTTATTTCTAATTCGTTCACGAGTTTTCACAGAGATATCCCTGAAATTATATTCTAGGAGAAGGAATCTCTTCCTCATTTTGTTACAAGTTGCTTTGTAATCTCATCGTGTTGCCATGACAGTGTAAAGCCAAGCAGCAAAGCAACACAGCAGAACTGCTTGTGTACTTGGTGCTCACCACTATCAAAGGGTTTCCAGAACTCTTATAGATGCTGAGTACCCAAGGAAGAACAACCTTCTCAACCTAGTTTATCCTATAATATCTGGATCCAGTAATATCCAAATCATGGCTGAGAAAGTAAAGTCTCCAAGGCTTGCTCATCTTGGCCTCTGTCATTCTTAACAATGTGTATCACTGCACACAGAATAATCCAGGCAAAAGGAGCTGCAAGGTACAGTGCAGAGCCCTCCTCTATGAAATCTGAGCAGGAGCACACAACCTCTCTAATCTCCTTTGTGCTATTCTGCTGGTGAACATTTTTCCCCCTTCCCCTGAACTGTGTATTTGATCATGGGCTACAGGCTGCCTTCAGTCAAAAGGTCCTTCAGCTTTAGTTACAGCAAGTTCAGCCCAGGCCCCAGCTTGCATATCTACCAAAAAAAAAAAAAAAAATCACCAAAAAAATAACCCCATATCCTATCATCAATCTCTGAGCCAGGCTTCTTCCCACCAAACCCATCTATTTTCTCAAAATGATACATGAAATTCACTCTTTTAGATGCAGGACACACAGCCGCAGGGAGCTCAGGCTATGTAGATGGCATGGCAATTGAAGAACAGCAGCCTTGCTTTTCCAAATCTCCTCCTCCTAGCTGACTGACAGCCTTCCTTCCTTCTAAAGAGTGCGTCTAGAGAAAGACTGGGAAATAGGCAAATGCTCTGCACTCTCCAGATATAGAGTACAGTTAGCAGTTTTCCAAAAACCCCATGTTCCGGTGTTCTAGACTGATCCAGAGCAAGGACAGAGGCCATGTCAGACACTCATATGCAAGCATACGCATAGAACTACTGCATATGTGATCTCCACTTGCAGCATGAAGCTTTTCCTGCTTTCTCCTAGTTTTGTCTGGCCTGCAGTCAGTGACATGCCCTCATAGCTTGGTCAGTTGTTGCTGAGGTGATGAGAAAAGACCCTCAAGCCACTGCCAGGATGAAAGACTTCTCCCAGCCCAGCTCTTCTGGTTGCCTCCCACCTCGGTTTGGTAGGCCCATTTCAGTCCAACTCCGATTGCAAACCTGTATTTTCTTTTTTTCTCATCCCATACTTTTTCAGGGAAGTGCTAGAAAAAGTCCCCCAGGCATTGCCCAGATGAAGTATTTCTCCCAAGTCAAGTTTGTTGGTAATTCCAACTTCTCTTTTGCAGCCCCTGTTACACTGTAGCCCTGCGCTTTCTCGCTGTCCTGACACTACTTATATTTATTTACTTATTTATTTTACCACACCACAGACAAGGACCCCTCGGTCACTGTGCAGAGAAAGATTGCTCCCAGGTGATATCTCTTGGTAGGAAGACTATTATGGTTAGAGTTTAGAGAGAGAGAAAGCATAGAACTGCAGTTAAAATAGGGCTGAAAAGAGGCAGCCAAAAGCAAACAGGGATGCCAGGCTTGGAAGAAATCACTCATCTTTGCCATGGCTGCAGAGCTTGTCCATGGCTTAGAAGTGCAAATTATGGTTAGGGTTCAGAGAAGGAGCCAGCTTTCTTTGGATTGCGGCTGGAATGGGGCTTCCAAAAGCAAGTTGGAGCTGCTGACAGTCAGGGGCTTGCAGAAATCTTTCTTCCAGGCATCTGCTGGGGGGGCTTAACAAATCTCCCCTTGGGAAAATTATCATTAAGGGTTCTCACAACCATACTAGCATGGCATGTGTTACATTCACTTACTTCGGTCTCCTAGGGCTAAAAAGGGCCAACTGAGGAGGTGGTGTCCTGTTAACTCTATAAATCATCTCACTTCAGCTAGGTCTCAGAAAGGTTTGTAAAACTTAGTTAAATACGCCTGAAAGAAGCAGATAAGAGCATTGCTGGTCTGGACAGGGGCTGCCCTGCTTTGCAAGGAAAAACTAATGTGGAACCAATTGCACACAGCCTCATCTGCTGGCTCCTCAAGGCACAGGCCTGGTTTTAATAACTGGGGCTACAGCTCAGATGGAACTTGGCAGTTCTTCACTCCATCTGATGAGCCTGCTGGAAGACATTAAAGTCTCTCTTCATTCAGAAGAAAGGGAGCCAGTGCCATCCGGTCACACTCCCAGACAGGGATAGGCTAGAAATAAAGCCAAAAGCTACTGGCAACCCAAGGGTTAACCTTCCTTATTGTATCCTTATCTATAGCTAGGCCCTTTTGTTTGGTTTGAAAGCAGGAAAAAGAAAAAAAAGAAAAAAAAAAAAGAAAAAAGAAAAAGCATGGTTGGGACCACATCCTGAATTTCAGAAAGATTCAAGAGATACTAAAGAAAAAATGGGCTAAAGAATTTCTTTCCTCTACTCCAACAAGCTGCCTCTGTTCTTCAGAGATTTAGGTGGCTCTTTGTGGAAAACGCAATCCAGGAACGATGTGCTAAGACACAGACAGTCTTTCTGTCCTGGCCTGAATAGCTCACCCACCAGCTCCAGGCATACAAAGCCTATACATTCAGCTATGCTGTCTGGACATGCTGTAGGCAGGAAAATATATGCTCCCTGCTTCATTTTTTCTCATCAGAGCTCTGATTTCAACCAAAATAAACTAAATAAAGTGATAATAAAGTCAGTGCTCGAATGGATTTTCTTTGCAGAGAGGACTGAGGACTCTATACGTGCTTAAAGAGGGAAAAGTCCAGACACACCTACATCAGCTGTAGGCACAGGTTAGTACACACATGCTAAAAGATGTACAGGAAGATAATTAGGCACACACCTGGATGCTGCTATATAGCCTGCACACCCGCGCATGCATGTGGTGCCTCACAGACAGCAGTTTGTGGATATGAAGATTGTGTACGTGCTCACCTGCACAGGTAAGCTTCTGCTTTTACCTTCCCACACTCATGCTTAGGCTGCCATTTATCTGTCCCCTCTCACACATGAAAACACTGCGAAAAAACCATGGGCAGACATTCAGAAGTGCATAGGCTTTCCCAACAAAAAGCAGACACAAACCTGTAGCTCTTCCTGCCCTCCCCTGGCCCACCCAAGCGCATGCGGCATGAATTACTGTAGCACGACTGAAAGCAGAGCTCCACGCCAGGCAC